TGGATGGAGCGTGCGCTTTGTTTGATATGACATGACATTCAATGCGCAATGGCATTACTGCGCATTTTAAGAGCAGTAGTTAATCACGAAACGATTAACGATCGCACCAAATTTCTGTGTGTGAACTAATCATGTTTATAGAATTTTAGCTGTGTGTGAAAAGGCTGATTGTCGGTCTAGTGGACTGTCAGTCTATGAGGGCTGTCGGTCGATAGTGTCAGTTTCGTGGAATGAGTGTGAAATGGGCACATATTCCAAAAGGGGGCATTAAAGAAAATTATTTCTCCATTAATCATTATTTTGTAATTTGATCACCTTAAAAATTCATATTAGATTCTTTTGTAAATTAAGGTTAATTATAGAAAAGCGTTACCCCCGACAAGTGAAACTGAGTTATGATCATAAGCCTCAGCCTAAATGTGTTTCATCTTCACACAACCTTTACAAAAAAGAAAACGCATTCAATATGGAATTGAATAAGTGGGGTATATCTGTAATAGAGTGACAACCCACCCCCCCCCCCCCCTCCCCCTTAAAGCGCGGTGAAATTGGGGGAAACAGGCAGAAAGAAAAATGAATTGAACCGGTTCGGATTTATAGATTTTAGCACGAAGTGCTGCCCAGATAAGTATTATCCAGAAGTACACCACTACCACTACCTCCTCCCTTCTTTAGTCCAACTCAAGGAAACATTCCGCTCCTGATACGCCATCCAGGCATACTTTCTTATATTTAGAGGTGAGAATGTTCAAAGCGGGAGCGAAGTGCCCACAGTGGATTGCGTCCAATGTGAAAAATTGGAGGCGACTCGAATCTATCGACAGGGCCCCCACTCCCCCTCTCTCTATCTTTCTCTCTCGCTCCCTCCTTTTCTCCTCCTCTATCCCCCCACCCTCTTTCACCAGTTCTGTGTTTTTTGTTTTGTTTAAGGAGTTTAATTCCCGACTTCTTTAATTTAAAAGAGACTTTGACTCCGGTCTTTGCTTTGTTAAATTCGTTCGCTCTAGTTTACACTTTCGATGTTTAAAAATCTCTTCTTAGAAATAGTAAGTATTAATATTGGGGTAGATAATTTTGCTTGTTTGATAATGTTCACAAACATGCAAACGCATTTTCAACATAACAAAATGTTATACTGCGTTTCGACGCAAGAGGACGTACTTCAAATAGAATCCATGCCAGTTTTCAACTTGATGCAATTCCAGACATTCATACGAGAGGACACAGTTAGAAGCTTGCCTCCGATAGACTTCATTTTTTAAATTTTTAAGTTAAAAGGGGAAATATGGGTAAGCCTACTCCAGATTGATTGTATAATCATGTACATTAAAAACAATGAAAACGCTTAAAATTTGGCAATCCCAATTATAAAAGAAACTAACTATAACATCATTATAGCTTTGTATTTTTGTGTAAAGTCCATAAAATACTCGAAAAATAATCAAATGCGTTTCATTTTCCACTGACCAGAACGGTCATAATTATTATTATGTACATGTACAATGTAAGTGGCGGACCCTGGATTCTGTGGCCGGGGGGGGGGGGGGGGAGCACATGTCTGAAGGCCAAAGTAACGAAACATATAAATACATAACGGAAGAGCTTAATGAGGAATATAGATTCGGGTATAAGACTATAAGGCCAGGAAATACATAAAGAAGGAGAAAAGGATATAGATTGAAGGAAAAACAAAGAAAGAGATGACGAAAGAGAAGAGGATAGAATAATTAAAGGAGAACAACAGAAATACATAACGAAAAAGAATTAAAGGATAGATTGAAGGAAAAACAAAGAAATACCTATAACGAAGGAGAAAAGGATAGATTGAAGAAAAAACAAAGAAATATATGGCGAAAGAGAAGAGAATAGATTGAAGGAGAAACAAAGAAATACATAACGAAAGAGAAGAGGATAAATTGAAGGAGAAACAAAGACATAAAGAGTATGTAGGCCTACACATGTACAGCTCCAGCAATCCAAAAATACTGCTAAAGGTAATGTTAGACTCTGTCTTTAGTCGTTTGCACAGTATATTTGACTGAACTGGCTAAACAGTAATGTGTAAAAAAAAAAAAATATGCGCGTGCGGGATGGGTGGGGAATGGCCTCCTCTATTTGTGGTTCAAGTATACGTTGCAATGAACTTCGTCTGATGTTCATCTGCGCAGCATGAATACAATGTAAGTGGCGGACCCATTCTGTGGCCGAAGGTGGGGGGGGGGGGGGGGGGGGGGGGGTAATTCTTATTATTTTTGTACTTTTGTCTGATGAGATGAATAATTGTGCGTATATATTTTTTTTAGATCCCTGTAAAGGAAAATACTCTCTTAATTTCTAGGACTTATTTTAAAGTCCAAAGAATTTATTCTAAAGCCAAGGGGGACTTGGATCAGTGACAGTTGTTACTGATCCAAGTCCCCCTTGGCTTTAGAATAAATTCTTTGGACTTTAAAATAAGTCCTAGAAATTAAGAGAGTATGTGTGAAATTAAATCAACCTTACAGAAAGGCCGTACTACAAAGCTTTGGTAATATTTCAACAGGATTGGATTATGACATCTAGAATTTACATTACCATTGTGAAACCTAGTGTTAAAATAAGCATATTTGAAAATATTGGGCTCTAAAACGCTCTAAAAGGATTTTGAGAAATTAAAATATCAAATTTATCGATGCTCCCGATAAATTTCAAATGGCTACGGCCATCCCGACGGCCATGGTAGCTGCGACCATGAAAACCTCGGAAAATGCAGTTCTGATAATTTCCAAACGGGAATAGAAAATCGGTCAATTTTAGTCAAGAAACATTGTTTTAAAGCTAAAGTAATATCAATCTTGAGAGGGAGCTATACAACAAAATGAGTTTATTATTCACAACGATCATTTGAATATTGTAGGATCGCATAATGCTTCCAATGATCATTTGAACCAAATTCATGACCTCATACCAAAACTTTGTATTACCTTTAAACAATGAAGGCACAAAGAAAATCTGACGCAATTTAAAGCTTGCTCCCCAAAATGAAGTTTTCTCCTCTTTGATAGAAGATAGAGTGGGTCTCCAAGTTTGAGTTTGAGAATATACTTCCACCATCATAATATCGTTTTTGTAAATTTATCAATCGTCATTTTGATCACACTGAAACGAACGAAGAGGCTTGACAAGACAAGTACAATCCCGTGCAGATTAAATCACTGCAAAGCGGAGCTTTTTGACAATATTCTTGCTTTATAATATATTTTGTAAAGCCAGGGATTCATTTACTCATCTACTCCGAATCAATCCCATTACCTTAAGCCTAATCATAATTTTAATCATTCAATCATTATGCTAATTAGAATTATGCTTAGGAATCCAAGTGAGGCAGACGCTCATCAGATAATAATTATTGAGGGTATCTGTATTTCTGCGTTTTAGAATTGTTGCGTTTGGTATGACCATATTTCACAATAAATCATTTTTATATAGCCCCAACCGTATTTCACAGGCAGGTCAATGACCTAAATTACGCCCTGTTATGGAATAAATCCTACCAACCCTATACTTTAAAATCAAGTCCACTTTAGTGGCACTTTATGAGTAAATAATGCATTCAAATTGCTTCAGTGGGTTCCAGGCTTGTTCCGAAAGACAATATAATTTGCACACCCATGACACAAATTGCTGGATAAGTCGAGAAATAATATAATTAGTCACCACCAATCTCAATTATGACAATAATGATTGCACGGAAATCGACATTGGGGAGTGGCCAGTTTTATATTGCTACACGAAATTCCCATCAGTTAGCACAGATTATAACACGATCACAAAGACTTTCGAAAAATTAACCTTATGGAATTTCATTAGTCCTGTCCGCCACCTTTTGTGTGTATATTACAGAAGCATATTACACAAAGTGAACATGATTTATGTTGGTGATACAAAATGGATTGGAATTGCCTTTGAGTTCGTCTCTTCAAAGTCTTTGCTATTGTGCCGACGGTAGGAAATAAATTTAATACCATACCCTATGTGAAATCGATTTTTATCTATAGCACTATATTCAATTGTTTAGAGTCTATGATATCATTCCACGTAATGCTCAATCATTCAGCTGCATATTATTTGGTGGGCGGAGCATGAATAAACTAGTTCTGAAGAACAACCAATACAAACGTCGACTTATTATATCCCATAATGTACGATGCGTAAAAAGACTCTGCACATCCATTTTTTTATATACCATGATCAACAAAAATTCACCGTTCTGCATGTCATTACTTCTTTCTTTCTTTCTCTCTCTCTCTCTCTGTCTCTCCCCCTCTATATATACTACTGAGTCACGATTTCCATGAAGGAAATACGGGTGTTAGGAAGTTATATTTTTATCTAGATCTTTTTGGGATGCTATTACCTTCTCATATTTTTGTCTCGAGGGCATTTCTTTGGAGCACATCTCCTGTGGAAATACAAATTTTGCTTCCATTTGAGGAGTGCCTATTTTGATATAATCAAAAACAAATTGCAGGAAATTTTACAGAAAGATAATGAAAGAAACCATGTCTTCCTGTGAAAATCAACCAAAAAGATAACTTGATAACTTTCTCTACTTTACCTCCCCCCCCCCCCCTCTCTCTCTCTCTCTCCCCCTCCTACGTCTCCACTTTCCCTCTTTTCTTCTATAATACCACCACCATAATTATATAGTAATATTGACAGTGATGTATACATTCCACCTTCATTCATCTGAAAATATAAACAGTCACATTCTAAAATCTCAAAGTAAATCAACATTTTAAAGGATTACAGCCCACAGTGACCGACAATGTTGGTTTCACGCACCTGCTCAAAAGTTAGCAGAGGCTTCAACAGACCGTCATGATGGTCTTGTGGGCCTTCTGACAACTTTTCTCGGGTTCACAAAGCCGACAGTCCCAATTTGAAAGGACAAAGGTGCACCAGTATTTTCAAAACAATGCAATGAATACAATATAAAAGAGAAAGCAAACCATCAAGGGTTATTTTTGACATCTTTATTAAAAATTCTCACTGGGAAGTACAAATGATAAGCACTCTACTACAAAAATGTAGGTATAGAACATCAAGTTTTAAAAAAATGGCAAATACGTACACCTACAGTTTAGCTACTAACAAATTTGACAAGCAATTGCGACAATGAACAGATATTAACAAAATACTTTGTTAGGACTGTGGCCATTGAGATTCATAACAAATATATTCTTATTAATGAATGGAATCAAAGGTAGTACATATCAAAACTATGTAATGAATTATAATTATGAGTAGAGAGTTGAATTCATTTCTGTTATAATCAGATCAGATCAAACAAGAAATATAAAGGATGCAAATACTTTTTAGTATTTCTTTTATACCTGTGGTGAATTTCACTGAACACTGGTGTACTGAGAAAGACATTACTTTAACCAGACCTTAAAAATATGATACAAATGGCCATTTACAAAATTATTAGATTCACATGACAACAGACTATATGATATTCGAAATTGATTTACATGAATACATAATTTCAACATTTGAACGATTGGAGAGACTAATAATGCATCATTTGTTGTTGCAGGAAAAATTATTTTTTCTTCTATAAATTACAGGGAATCCTCATGATTGAAATGCCTTGACTATAATATAATATATGAAAGTTCATTAAAAAACGCCCTTCTTTTCATAAATTAAAATTTGTTTTCTTGATTATTTCATTTAAACAGATGTAGAATACTGGTCTCTACATTTAGTTTCCTCATGATTACTAACTACAAGAATTACAAATTTTCACTTTGTACAAAAGATGTCATCTTAGTTACAGCTTTTACAAACACAGATATTACATTTTTTGATATTTTTGCATGGAATGTCTTTCAACAAAAGACATTTGGTGAGCCGAAATCTAATAGTGCATGATGTTCATGGTGCATATTTTTTTCTGTACAAGGGACAGATATTATATATAATACTATTTCAAAATCTTGTGTAGATACCAAGGACTGTTTTTCAAGGTAGAACAAGTGAGGACTTGGGAAGATTTGGACGATTTCTTGATATTTCCAGGCAATCTGATAATTAATACCTGTATTTCCACTTGGAAGAAAGACACTCTACCGAGACGGGTATTGTAATGCCTTTCTACAAAATAAACCCTTTCAGCCATAGGAGTAATGCTACCTGACTCACAACTACTTTTTAGTCCCATTTTCTCTGATTCGTTAAAGTATTAAAGCCTAGGATATGCGAGTCTGTTCCCACGTTGTTCTTTGGGAGGCACCAAGCACATAGATACACATCACCTGTTGAGAGCCAGAAGGGTGTAGTGCCTTTCTGTCTGGCTCCCCTCAGACAAAATAACGGATTGGATACTGGTTAAATATCTAGGCTTCACGCCACCCAAGATACAGCATTATTGTATCTGTAGGGGAGGAGGTAGCAATTTGGGGTCCTATTTTAAATTAAGACTATGTAAGTCTGGTTTCAATGATGACATTTTTCAACAAGCTGTTCTTAGCTGAAGATAATTGCAGCCAAATGTACAAATTTGACAGGTCGATTGTTCCCTTCCTATATAAATGGGAAAATGCATTAGATTCAAATTTAATTTTAAATAAGTCAATTAATGTTGTATTCTGAAGTGGTTACAAGAATAAAATCAAAAGAATCTAAAATAATAAGGCAATAACATCTGCTACATTTAGACTACAAAGTTACATCATCAGATTTTGAATGGAAATGATTATACAACAACAATGCATGTTTGCTACAATGTGCCTGGCATGAACTGTAAAAATAAATAAACTACACTGCATTACATACAGCAACATACCATATTACAGGGTTTGGTTCTTAAATTTCATTACACTTACATATACAAATGAACAGCCAACATAGCAAATAGGTAGACTCAAATTGAACTTGTTTACTTGTTTTGGTACCAGAGAACCCTGTGCTGTACACAAATTACAGTCAAGGAAAATCTAGAAAAGGAAAAAAAACACATAAGGGAGAGGATGCAATGTGTGTGTGTAACACAGTGTCTGGCTTAAACTAATTATTTATGTGGACAGGAAAAATAATGATACAACTGCTTAAAACATTTAAAGAGAATGCAAACAACATAAGGGTTCATTACAAGGAAAAGGCCATTATCTTTAATGTCTACAATAGAAAAAGTGCATTTTAACATCTGAAAATATTTGTACGTCTTACAAATGTTGTATTTTCAGATCAAAATGCATGAAAAAAGTTGTTTATTTCAAAAATTATTAAAGAAGGCAGACAATCTTTGTAAATATAATGTCTGGCACTTCAGGCTAAAAATGCTGTATACAAGTTGGTCTTCATCAAGTAAGGACTTATTTCTCTCATTATGAATACAACAAACATGGACATACTTTATACACAAGAAAACATAAGTTATTACCTTACATTTCAATTTGACTGGATACATCAGTCAATGTATTATTTTTCTTATAAATAGTACAAAAATGCCAATAACTTACTTTATTTGGCAAATACTTTCATAACAATACAGGATCGGTAAAGAGAATAGGAATCATTTGGCAGCTAGCTCAAAAAAAGATGATTTTGCAATACATCTTCTTTCTAAATTTCATGAAAGTTGCCAACTCTATTTTCCATAGAAATCCTTTCAAGTTGGACATTTTCTTGTCACATGCCATCAAAAAAGTGACATACATTATAAACCAAATGGACACTACTCTTGAAAGATTATTTCTAACTGGAAGAACTAGAAGTAGTCATGTTGTATCTACATGGTTACGCTACCATAAAGGCTTACAATTTTGTGCATGATATTTCATACAAAGATCATCAAATAGTCATTTAATTTTTCTCGTCATCTTTCTCTTCACTACTTGGAACAATCCCCAAACAATTCTTTATTCTTACAGAGGCCCACTCTTTACACCGGGAGATTCCTTCCGTTTCATTCTTAACTCAAATGATTGAATGAAAATAAAACAACAACAATAAAGGAAATGACATTTGCTTGGAAAGCTGGATGCATGCAAGGGTGCATATAATCACCTAAGACAACTAAAATGCAAGAGATGTAGCACTGGAACACACTTTTACTTTCAAAATATATGCAGGAGGGTTCATTTGAAAATACAGGCAGGGTGCTTTTATTTTCAATGGAGGTATAAAGCCACATAAAATGGGCGTTTTTGTTATACCTTGTAATAAGTATGAGCTGTCATTCTGGGATAAATAAACATAAACACAATCTGTATACTTGTAGGAAAGATCACCATTACTATGCAAGCTACCGACTAATCTACAATTAATGGCATAAGAATAGTCTTAGCTTCAAACTATGGTGTTGGTTGTTGGGCGTATTACATGTACATTCCCTTAGCATTTTCTGATTGCAAAACAGAAGATACTTCAATTCTCAAAGACCTATGGGGAGACATATAGTTTAAAGAAACTACTAAAATTTTAACAAGACTTGAACTAGACATGGATATTATTAATGGAATGGAATGACTAAAATACATATTGCAATATTATCACTAAACAAGTATCAAGTTTATACAGCAACGTAATAAAGAATAAAAAACTGTTTTTTAAAACACAAAAGTAATGGATTTACTAAAAATTTGATTGTCATTTTTAATCAAGTATTTGTGGAAAAAAAACCAAATCAAATTTTGAAACTTTTATGTGTTTGTCAACAGATGTGGAGCCATGACTTGCAATGAATTAAAAAAGGTATAAATTACATGCTATTCTTGAAGTTGATCCTACCTTTAGTGAGAGTTGATATTTTGGCAAGAGTTGTAGAATCTATATAAGAAAGCATTACTCCAAAGAAACCTCAGTCAAACTAAAAGACAATGACCCTTCATTACGATCATGGGAAATAATTCAACATTTAAACTGCAACTTAAGTGCAAAAGCAGCGTATTAATGAAAAATAAAATAAGGTCAATGTTACATTGCAGAGATACTGGAGTTGGGAGTTGAATACCAAGAGTAGCGTGGGTGATAGCAAACATCTCCTTAACGAGACTGTAAAATAATCACTATGACTTGTCTCTAATAGATATATTTTTTTGAACTGTTAAAAGCATAATAAGGCATGCAGTGTGCAACTGTGGCAACAGACAGCAAGAGAGTAAGCAAGAGGAAAAATGAACAAAGAATAAGAAAGGAATGCAATTCTATAAAGCTGCCTCATGGCTGAGTTGAAGAATAAAATAATATGGGTTGGCACAATCAAACTGATCATAATAAAGATCATTATAAAGTTTACACAAGGTAGAGTTTTAAAAAAATGAAGACGTTAGACAGCCACAATAAATGTAACTAGTGACGATTGTAAACTAGCACCTTTTTCTACATGATCATCATCAGAATTGATGAGATCGAAGGAAATCTTCATCTAAACGGAGACACACAAAAACCTCTTCAAAAGCATGCATTCAAGAACAATTGCGATCACAGTGAAACAACTTGGCACTGTACAGAGACATCATTATCAATCAATTAAATAAGATAAAATACTACAGGACGATAAAGAAAAACCAGATATGTGATAAAAATTAGTTACTTCAAATAGCAGATACTACTCCACGCAATGGTTATTCAAACTTGAATACAATACTAATACTGTTCTCACATTTTTGGACGCCTTTAGTTTCTTTATATGTTGATTCAATATCTGAAGCCCACGACTAAGACATAGCCACTGTAATTCTTGATTTTCTCTTACAATCTAAGACTGTACTCTTTCACACTCAACGTAACACACATGTACACTGACGTACTGGATATTTTTTTTTTTACTAATCTCTCTTTACAGGCATCTTTAGATCTTCTTCATATGTCGCTTTAAGTCTAAACACTTTTTTACTTACATGCCATTTCATGATAACAGTTGATGGATGAAAACAAAGTTAACCATGTAAATAAGAAATAACCATACAAATAAAATGCTAGATGTACATCAAGGCATGCAGATGTGTTAAATTTATCACGAAAACCTGTGACCAGCTTCAATCAAATGGACAATTTCCTGTGCATAGTATGGGATAAAAAAAATTTAAGTAGCAAGTAATTAATATTTCATTGTTCTCTGTCAATTTTTTCCCCTCAAGAAAAAAAGCTGTCCTAACTGTTGGCATGTAAGTATTGGTTTAAGTTGTTCACATTGGAAATATACATCACATACTTGTCTTGCAATAATAAAATGGTTATTATCATTACAAAGGGAATGTTCAAATTCAAACTTAGACTGATTCACGTGTCGTCAATTCTAAATTGAATGTATATGAGTTGGATAAATTGGCGAGTACAGGCAAAGTAAACATTATCTTTGAATCTTTGAAAAATGTCAGAAAAATTTTTCTGAAGAGGAGAAAAAAATAATTAAAAAGGAAATAACCGGTCTGTAAAATTTGGAATGTACCTTCTCAGGGATTGTGTATATGTTGTGTTCAACAAGTCATTAGAAAGGAAATATGTTCCATTTGTATGGAGCTGGTCACATCTGTCCAACCAATGAGAGAGCTACTACTACTTTTCGCACACAGCTGTCGCATTACATTTATCTTTCCATTTTTAAGATCTGTACAGCTCAATTATTCACTCATGATATTCTCGTTTCCAATTATCTTAGGGTTAGCAACTCTTCCATGATTTTCTTTGCTCCTGTTATGGAAGTAGACAAAAATATATTCATTTTCCATCTATGGAGAGGAAAAAAAGTTTATTACTGTACATCAAAATATGCAGATATCTTGCATACAAGTCTTGAAGGTATCTAGTTCTTCAACATTGATTTGAAGATAAAATCTCTTAACACAGAGAGTAAGAGAGCAAGAACTTCTTTTCAAAAAAGCATCATGACAGTCAAGAAATACTTGTTGGATCAACCAACCAAATGCTGTCACAAACATTTCAATTTAGTTTATATCAGTATCATACATACTTACAAGAGTTCAATGAAAGCACCCAATGCAAAATTGGCTTCATTTGAGTTTTACCTTCTCGTAACTGTAGTATTGATTTGTTTGCAATTTATTTTTTATTTTTCACCAAAGATAGACTTTGGAGAATACCTTCACAGGAGACTGCTTAAAGAATGGGAGAATCCAAAACATCTGTAACTCCAAAGGTAGGAAAATATTTGTCATTGCAACACATTACGCTCATATTACGGAGGCTTTTTTACACCATATTTACAGCACCAGCCCACCTTCAGTCAGCCTAGTGCACTAAACAGTTGCCTGCTAAGCTTTGCTTTCTCTCATTTTTTTTTTTACCAACAACTTTTTTTCCCCAACACAGCATGTTTTGTATTTGTGTGTGTGTATGTTAAATTGAAGCTATAATACAGTTCTTGCTTTCCTCTTCATAAGAGGTATTTCATTTTTTTTCCCCTTTACTCAATCTCCTCTTCTTTTTGGTGATGTTGGCATTTTGACTTCAGGATGATCACTCATATTCATCACCATCGTCATCATACTCCTCGTCGTCTTCCTCGTCGCCTTCGTCGTCATAGAGAACCTGTTGGTGGGAGGAAGGGCCTTGCAATTCACCGTTGTAGCTTGCTTGGGCAGCCTGTGCCATGGCCATCCCTGCCATCATGCTTGGCTGGGGATTATGAGGGACCATGGTGGGTGGGGCATGATGCTGAACAACTGGTGGTGGAGGGGCAATTACGGGCTGGGGCTGGGGCTGGGGAGCTGCTCTGGGGGTACTTGTAGCTGCAACCAGACCCTTCTGTGTATACACAACAGTGGAAAAATAAACACCCGTTAGCTCTGGAAAGCTCAAAAAGATTTCATCAGAGAGAAATCCTGCATGTTGTACAGCGAAATAAAAACATGAAAATCACTATGAAGAAATCTAGCTTGTTCTATAAGCAAAACCAAGAGGAGTTCCCATAAAAAAACAAGTCAATGATGCAAAAGAAAAGAAAATATGTATTTGTATGACGTATTATTAGTAAGCATCTTTAATATACAAAAAAAATAATAATAATTGGGGCATTATTATTGTTGTTGCAAATCCTCACTAATATAAAGGCTTCACTGTCCCACCTCAAATTTTGCTTACCTATGTTATCTCCTCTGTATTCTTGTATCCTATTACCTTCCAATAAGTTCATTTTGATGACTTTTTAATTGTTTCATGTTATCACTGTCATTTCTACTGTAATTCAGCCTCAGGTCTGTCAAAAGTATATTTATTGCAATCAATACCATTTTAATTCACATGGATGCCAGTTGGTATAAACTAATGAGCCTAAGGGACTCAGAAATAACCAAGTCTCATATGTGATGTGCAATATGTAGCCCCCCAAAAGGCTGAAATCAGGATACGGCCTGAAAACAAACAAGCATCAGTGAATAAAATGCTGTACCTTCTTTCTCCAATCTTCCATTTTTCCTTGGTAGGTTTTGTATTCCAGGGCCACCCTCTCCAGGTAAGGTTTCTTCTGTTCATCTGTCAGTTTGTTCCATTCCTCACCGCAGATCTCTGTCAGACGTCGCCCCTTCTCTATTGTCTTCCCCTTCATCTGTTCGCGGAAATCTGTGAGAAAGTAGAAGTATGCGGTGGGTGGCTTCTTTGGCTTGTCGGGGTCACGTACCTTCCTGTACACTGAGATCTGCAAAATGGGAGAGACAAAATGCATTTTAATACTAAAGTGAAAAATGCTTTAGTGACTATCTGTATAAAAAGACAACCGGTCTCTTCACATCAAATTAACAATGGATTCCAGTGAAACATGAATTAAAGCCTGTGACATCTGATTAAAAAATGTCTTTCCTCCCAAGAGTAACATCATATAAGTTTTATAAAATTAATTACAAACTGTATAATGTTAGGAATTTCCTCAAAGACTTTGCTTTCAATTAACTTCTACAGAATTTTAAAATTTGACCTTTAACCAGAAAAAAAAAATGAAACTATTTTTGGTATTCATGAAGCCATTGACACTTTTCTCCACGTTAAAATAACATTAGGGGTATAATTTGGCAATAAGAATGAAATAACAAAATTTAAAAAGTCAGAAACTCCATCAAAATTCTATAACACAGTAATATCAAACTTTTCCAGAGTGCAGTCATTAACATTAGTTTAAAGTTGTAATTGTTCCTTTTTTCATGTTCAGTTTGTCACTTTATGCAAATTAAGTCTTATCATTTGCCACTACAAAATATAAAGATCCATCACAATCTTTTTTTGTTCCATGCAAGGTGTGTTTAATTCCTTTACCACTAGTATAAGAATGAGTAGAAAACAAGACAAATGAAGGCAAGCATAATTTAGTTAAGTAATATGTATTTACCTCAGCCTCATATCTTTTCCTGTCGACGCCTGCCTTCTCCTGGTATGGTTCCTTCTCAGTAACCGTCATCGAGGTCCATTTCATACCACATGCCTTTGTGATCTCACTTGCCTGCAGTCGGGTCAACAACAAAGAAGCCAAATGAGATATGTATTCTTTTCCTTTTAAACTCAACTCTTTCCTTATACCATCAATTATAGATATATTTGTCTCAGAAATACATTCCTGTTCACATTTTTCCTTTTAACTAAACTTTAACTACATAAATGTGTATTTAAAAATAAAATAGGTATAAATTGCATCTTTGATATTCAAATTTACCTTTCCCCCATATGTGACAGCATATATTGCAATAGGATATAGAAAGTAGATATTTGATACAGATGTGAAATTTCTTACAAGCTTTGAACAGTTTATATTTTTTTGTCCTGCAACAATAATTTTGCTCATAACATACACTCTCATATTTTCCAAGTTAAATTACATCAATTTCAAAGTTGAAATAAAAGAATGCATTTATCTTAGGTTTCATGACAGTATCTATAAACTGTGTGATTTCATATTCTAGTGAACAGGAATCTTCACTCCAGATTCTTGTCAGGTCCTTGTTGTAGGGTGCTTAAAATGTCTCTCACATGAATAGAAATGACATCTTTGCAATTGACAAAATGTTCCCTGTCTCCAGAGTTGGTGAAACTACATAGCTTACATGTCCACAGGGTTTAGGGAAGCTACTATTCAATCTGTCACATGACATCATTCAATATGACAAAAAATATGAATAATTCACCAAAAAATATGAAATGGATTTTTATCACTAAGTACCAGTAAACAGATTTCCTTTAGATTCTACAGAAAATAAAAACACAAAACCTGTTTGGTCAGATTTTCAAAGAGACAAGCATGATTGCAACATACAACTCTTCCCTCAAATATTTGGATTGCTTGGCATGTATTTTTGCAACATTTCCAAACATTTAGATTAACAAGTTATGAAGGTTGCTTTATCTTTCGTGTAACTTGTAATCCATCATCTGTTCAGTTTTGATTTTCTTGTTTTTTTTAAGAACAACTGTGAGTCTTTGTGACCTCAACTGACAAAGACAGCTTATATCATACTTTGAATAACACCAGAAAAGAATACAAATGCTCTTGCAAAGTATTTCCTTCAAACAATGAAATTATAACATTGAGAAATGAGGATGAATAAGAATTTTTCTTATTACAAGATTGTACATGAAACAACGTAAGAAGTTTTCATATCTTATACCATCACTGCAAAACTAAGCTGGATTTTCTCCATTATTTGGAATGATTTGATTAGTCTTTGATGGAACTAGTTTAATGGGGAAAAAAAGTAAATTGGTGCAAAAGTTCTATATATTCTGACTTTATGAACTAGGATACTGAAAGAAATAGAAAAAGTATAGGCAAATTTTTAAAAAATATAAGAAAAAAAAAGAAAGAATACTCAAGCAATAGGAAGACAAAGCCAGAGAAACGACAAAAAATTCTAAATCTGTATTTCAGTGAGATTCCCTACGGAGGCATTTAGCTGGATCAGCAAGTAGAATAATTGATCAAATCTTGAGATCTGGCGGGAAGCAACTACAGCTAGTGTAATTTCTTACTTCCTCAATTCCATCCGTAAGTCAATGTACACTGAGTGACAGATTCAACAGCCTGGATTTGATTAATCAAGCCACTAGGTGCTTAAAACTCAATTTCAATTTCATCCCATAAGCCTTTTCAGGTATTTCTATTGTAGTTGCAGTTCTTTTTTTTTTTGGGGGGGGGATTGGAGTTGTATAATACATCAAAATTAATTCTTTGATGTATTTAAGGTAAATGAAAAATGTTTCATTTGGTTGATATTCATCTTATTCTAGTTTAATGTGTTATCATTATAAGACAACTTGTGACTCATATTATTAAAGCCATGTCCCCAGAGGCTTATAACTAACATATACATGAGCCCCCCAAAACATTCCACATCTTGAAGACTTGCAAAAGTCAGAATATTTACTAACCATCATCAATCTATTAGTATTGCCTTGTTTATACTAACATTTAATCTTAAGTTCATTTCAAATTAATTGTGACAATTTTGACATTTTCGGAATTTACTAATACACTAACGGGAAATAATGAAATGAGAAAAATCTGTGCATTTGCAAATAAATAACTACTCTACAAACTACTCACCCTTGGGATCTGGTCACCATCCTTCACATAATTCTTGCGGAAAACGTCAAGAAAGAAGAAGTACGCTGTTTTGGCTCTCTTCACGTGGGATCCGGGCCTGTTCCTCTTTCGCCTCTTCTTGCCCTTGTCCGCCAGAGGCTTGCGTCCTCTCTTTTTGGGGAAGTACATCGCCGAGGGGTCTGTTCCTGACAAAGGGAGAAACTCTGCAAGAGATGAATATGCCCCAGGGTTGGGGAAAGAGGCGATTGGGATTAAATTTTGAGGGGGTTGTGCCGAAAAAAGAGAGTTTGCGTCCCACCACCTTGGTATATTAGCATGCATTTTTACCTTGCGATGATACCATGAGGTTCTTCGCCACGGCCTGGGGGTTTGTTTGAGTGGGTCTTGGTCCATATCTAGAATAGACCACATCTACTCCCTGGTTGGACATTGTTGGAACACATCCTGCTTCACTGATACTATATACTTGTGCATCAGCTGATCTCCCTAGTGTTAGGGGAATAAATAAATTGATGTCAACTGGCACACAAAGATTAACATTTTAAACGTGTCAGCATTCATTGTTTGATCGTACATATAAAAAATACAACATATGACATATAATCTCATTCTTACAAGAGTTGCTTGCCCTTGGGATATTTCACACGGACATGCAGAATGTATTAATACAGCTGAAAAGTCTCCAAACCAATATATATCTAGGCATCCCGGGCAACTAAATTTACTATAAGTAAAATCATCATGGATAAATAAAATAATTAGGTTTTCTGTGATTTTTGTTATTCTCCTTCATAAAACATTCCTTAGAATATTTCATCTACATTCATGAAAAAAACATTTCAAATCAGTGATTAGAGGAAACGAACATGAGAACTTAAAGAGCTTCAACACTCATACTTTTAAGATGCCGTCACATATCCAAAACAGAGCCTGCCCAACTTCTTTGCAAGCTAAAAATTTGAATTTTTGCTAGGAATACCGCTGGTGACTACTCAGTCACTGCAGCTTTTACTGCGATTTTTGGGGTCGGTCAACATTTGCAGGGCACCAAAAACAGGTTCTCAAATTTAGTGATTCTTCAATAGTGAATTTTGAGGGTTTCATAGCTCAGTTCCCCTGTAGCTCGAATCCCTGGCGGGCTTGAAATTTGGTGGACGTTGGATATGTGGGGCTGGATTTAGGAGGATCTAAATAAAATTACTTTAAAAAGTCTAAATTAAGTAGGTGTCCTTCAAACAGAAGACACCATAATTGTTGATGAATCAAAATAATTTCAGCTACTTGTACATGTACATGTAGCTATCAATGGACAACCATCTAAATTTATGCTAATGAAGAACACCCACACTTTCAGATTTTGCAAATGAACGATTTAAAAATCTGATATGCACATTCACTTGGTAATATTCTCTAAAATATATATTCTGCTTGGCAAACTTGTTCAAATGATTTATCATTCTTATTTCCACTTGGTTCAACTGCCCTAGGAAAGAATATCTACAACGAATGGCTCTGGCAAATATTCACATCACATCTCTACAGTGAAGAATGTAACAAACACCACCTTGTGAAAAACAACTTGAGAGGAGAGAAAGAGCATGAGAGTGAATGAGAGAGAGAGAGAGAGAGAGAGAGAGAGAGAGAGAGAGAGAGAGAGAATGAGAGCAAAGAGAAAAGAATGAATAGAATGAGCATGAGGGGAACAAAAAGTCTCAACAAGATTAAAGGGAAGATGTTTAATCACATTTAAACAAGGAAGGACCAGGAGAACAGAAAAACAGCACAGGGTGCATAATATGCACAATGAATACTGCATAAAAGTAGAAGGATTTTTGTTTTAATAAACATCAAAATTTAGATCTCTCTCAACACCTGATACAGATAACATTAATACATTGTAAGATTTATTCATTGAAATTTCATGCCAAGCATTACAGGTGATCCACCTTCAGTTTTTCCTAACATAACTAAGACTTATCTTAATTGCAAATAAATCACGCAGAATACTAACTCAAAAGCAACCTGCACTTAAAAAGGAAAAACAAATCACGTAATTGCAAAAAGAACTTGGCTGATAGAGAAAACATAAATCTTAAGAACGCAATACATAGCGAGATGACACAGGGTTGTAAGTGGAAATAATATTCATAATATGTATGCATTGCTATCAGCCATCACTGAGAAAATATCCTATTTCCATTCATTAGGTATGAGTGAGGCAGTGGGGAAAAACATAAGAAGCTGAAGATTAAGGTTACAAGAGAGAGGATGAGAAACAGCGAGAGGAACGATGATGGAGAGATATTCCATGAGAAGGGAAATACACTGATGATAATAAGGACAGTGATACAAAGCTCACGATGAAATGGATGAGAGAGAGAGAGAGAGAGAGAGAGAGAGAGAGAGAGAGAGAGAGAGAGAGAGATAAAAAGAGAGAGAAAGAGAAGAGAGTGCAAGAGAGGTTTGTGTAAGGGAAAGAATCAGAGAGAAAGAGAGAGAGGGAGGTAGGGAGGTAGAGAGACAAACAAGAAAGAGAGCGATCGCGAGAGAGAAATCGGTTAAGAGGGAGAGGAGAGAAAGGGGGAAAAAGAGTCCCATCACTGACTGAAGTCTGAATGAATGGTTAAAATATGCATGACATTTTCACAAAGACTTAGGGACACATGGATCAAATCTCGACACACAAATGACAAACATTTAAAAAACCATGAATTTGAAACATTTTGGATAGGCCAAAGTTCATGCATTTTCAATGCTCAGGATATCAAAATTTAATTCCCACATTCTACGTAAATAAATTCAATTTATTTTACTGTAAAGCAAGTAAATAAGGTTCTTTTTTTCTCTCCTTCGTTATAAATCTCACATGCATGTGATATTTTCTTCTCTCTCCATTGATAAGAATGCTTATGGGTTCTCTGTATGTGCTCTCACGCTTGTGTATAAGGCAGCTTCTTTGTTATATTCCTTACATGTACTCTGTGTGTAGGTGTTGCTTAGTGTATGTGTGTGTCTTGATGCACAGATATAAAAGTGCACCAACAGGCATGCATTCTCCATATACACAAACTCACACACAAACACACACACTATTTATACATGTATATTGTACAGTCTACTGACACACTCATATGCAAAATACACATAAAATGGCAAATTGGCAGCAAAACGTAATGCAACAAAGGAAATATAACTCAAAATGAATTCCTCATTTCAATAATGCTGTTTTGTCCAAAGCTGATATCACGCGAACTGGAGCATTTCCTTTCATATAATTTGATTGCATTTAAGTGGCTTTGTTTCACAATGAACATCAAACAACATTTCTATTGAAGAAATTCTGACCTAAAAAGTTCAGTGTCAGTATAGTAATCCAGAAATATATGCAAACTATCAATAATCCTTAAAATCATGTAGAGCATATTGATAACAATCTATTATGGAAAATATTTATCTCTAACTAGGACATAATATATTTACATCCCTACTGTTCACTTCTCAAACATGAATCTTTACTAAAGCCTGCAAGTAACGTTAAAATCAAATATGATAAATGCAACAGGGGAGTAGGAATGCAAATGGAGTCCCAATTAATTCAAATCTCTATTGATAACAGAGTGCGAATCAAAGAAATAATTAATCCACTATCTCACAAACTTATCATGAGGCTGTCTATAAATAGGTCATAATTGTATAATCAACATATTCTTTTGTTCTTCAAGTGACAAAAGAATTCACGGTTGCCAGGGTCATCTAAATCCTGCACACAGTTCCTAGCTTAAAAAGATGAAAAGTGATTTAGTATTGAGGCAATACTCATTCTTTCAGGGTGAAATCCATTTACTTTTAAAGAGGGATTATTCTCTAATTCTTACACTGAAAATATCTTTGCAAACATTCCCATGCAACCTTCAATGCATATGTTTTGTTAAAAATAATTTCATGGGACAAACTGTATAGTATAGTTGTATGAATTCAAATATGAAGAAAAGTGAATTTTGAAACAAGAATATATCAAGAAATATGTATTCTTTATAACAAAGGTACGTTTTTCATTTTTAAAAATGTGTAGGAATATTTATTAAATTTACCAACCAATGTCATCATCCACTATTCAAATCAATAGGATTTTACTTTGATTGAAATGTATGTATTTTTCCTGTATCAAAAAAATCTAATTATTAATAGGGGGGATGACAGATTTATATTTTTAATTAGACAACTACTACCTTCTACTACTACTACTACTACTTACTACTAGTTCTCATTAAACATGTCTGAAAAAGCATATTGGTAAAATAAACCATTTCCTCATCTAGCCTACATATTAACATTAAAACGGGAAAATTTCAACTGGTACTTTTTTTATAGGTTGCCCAGATGTTTTGATAACCGTACTTAAAAATCTAAAATATACATCTTCATAACCCCTCATATACATGTATGCAGGTGAAGAGTACACTGTATCTTTAGATGCAAGATGCCTACTTTTATGACCAAATGTACTGATACTAACAGGTAAATTTTGTATATTTAGGGTGACAAACACTGCAACTACATATACTCTTCATGCCAGTTCTAATGTCATGATAGTTACAGTGATTATATAAAGGTAGCTACTTTCTCCACATTTAATCAATCTTGATTCCATTTAAATCTACATATTTTTGATAATTACAACTTGTTCATGTCATGTTTTAAAATGTATTCTGATATAATTTTTGATTTCCTATTCTTTCCTTACCATACCCGATCCCATTGTCAAATCTTTCCACTTTCTCCCTTTGGCTTGCATTATTTTGGCTAATGAAATCATACAAGGCCCTGATATCCCCATTTTTGTTTTGTCCATGTTCCCCTTTGTGTGAATATCAGCAAAGCCGGACAGCTGCAAACTCAAGGAGAAGGCCACACAGATGATTGAAGAGTGAGAGATTCAAACCCATCTCCCAACTATTTTTTTTATTTCAGACTTATTCTCCACTATTCTCTGTATCTCATCTACTCATCAGTAATACCTCCAAATTGGGATGATTCATCATGCAAGTTATTAAGCCAATTCAATGACAGTATAGACCTTTTATACCATATCTCTCTTGCTCTCTGTCTGTCTGTCTGTCTCTCTCTCTCTCTCTGTGTTTTTTCCTCTCTCTCTCTCTATCCCTCTCTCATGTCTCTGTGAAAAATGATATGTTCATGTGTGCATCTTACACCCTTTAGGTTTAACTACTACTAGTACTAGAGGTACTAGTAGTAGAAAATTACCAGTGACCCAATTTGCGTAACACAGTTATCCATGAACCCCATATATCAGATATGAAGGAAAATATCTTTGCTCTTCATAGAGAAATCGTATTCCCAAAACATTTGTAAATCAAGTTGTACCTATGTCACTGCTCTTGGAAAACGGAATAAACATGCATGTAAATTTGGAACATAAAGAACATCAATGACAAGTTAATGTGCATGTAGGCTACTGCCAATAATCGTTCCTCCAAGATACTGATATTAAGGTTAGGAGAGGGGGTACTATATATAGAACACATCATGCATGAATTATTTACCTCCATGTACAGTATGTACTACAGCAGATATGTGACGCTCATGCATTATGAAGTATCCCTGACGCACTCTTTGAATCTCATCATCAATTCATTCATGTTCATCAATTATGATGGAGATGAAATATATGCTGGTACATGCACGGCTAGCCTGCTTAGATGGGCTCAAATCTACATAGAATGCATTGTAGTGCATATTGGCGTTTTAATCAATTCCCAATTTAAAATGGGACATTGTTGTATTTCATTCCAGACGTTGCCAAAATCAGTTCGCAGTAGGGTATGCATATCAGCTCTCTCTCTCTCTCTCTGTTCTTTGAAGCACATCATATAGCTTTTCTCTCTAATTAGCATTAATCCCATTTTCCCTACCAGCTGAATACATTGGATCTGCTTCAAATATCAAATAGTCAACCAGATGACTGTATACCATAAACAATAATAAAATAAATTTACAAAGTAATAAAAACAGTACATATGAATACAGGTCTAACACTAATCTATTCAAGACCAATGAATAAGGCCAGGATGTTTAAACAATTGTGAAATGTTCCACGTTTAAAAAAATACTTGGTGAATTGTTGTAAATGGAAATGGATTTTTATTTGCACAGTAAAGCCTACATTCTTTGTTTTCAAACCAGAATTTGTCACCTCTCTGCAAAGACAACTGCTTTAGTTTACACATGAATGTATTCAGGTTTATCGAAATTGATTCCCTAGTGAAATATATTCTATTCATAGATGATATTGATAACATCTCTAATATACATGTACTTCCAGGCTGGATAGAATACAGTGTATTTTGCTATTTTTTTTTTAGCTATGCTTCTCTTTCATCATCTCCCTATGTCTTTCCATTCACTCCCTTGCTCTATTTTTTCTCTTCGGAGTTGTTCCCTCTTTCTTGAATTTTTGTTAAAAGCACCAACAGGCAGCTTAGGCCATATTACTAGATTCCCTAGATTCAATTTCTTCTGCCTCTGTCTCCCTGAAATTAACCGCTGCTTATTAGGTTAACATGGGATTCATGAACGCATTTGACACTGTAGGAGTGTGATTCAAGGTATCGAGAGCTGCTGCCAGGATTGTAATACTTGCACCAAAGGTCAACAGTCTGATATTTCTACACATTGTAATGAGTTTATAGCATTAACTTTGAATACTTCAAACCTTTCATTATTTAGTTTAAATTACTAATGAATATAATTGTAACATATTATAGATATAGAAGCAATTGCGTAGGACTAAATGTGGCTTTCAAAGATGTCTGTTCATAATACAGATTATTCTTTGGCAAATGCAGGTTACAAATAGGTGAATCACATTTTTTTCCTTCTAACTTTGTTAAATTTTTGTTGTTGGTCCAAATAACCTGTTTAATTTTGCAGGTTTCCTTAATTGCTGCATTTCGACAATTCATGCTTAAATTAAGTTTAACCTTAATAATAGCATGGATCTCCAAAGGCAGATCATTATTTGCTTGCACATCTAAGTGTAACAAAAAAAAACAAGCATTATCATCTTGGAAATGGAAGGGAAAAAAAGAGGTAAAAAGAACAACAAAATATCAATTACAAAATTGCTGTGACGAATTCTCACTTGGAAAAAAGGCACATCAAAAAGAATTAATTATCACAGAACAGTGGTTCTTACTACCCAGATAAAAGGTCATATCTATGAAGTTCAAGATCGTACTCTTCCAAATAATCAGAAGCCAGAGAACTTGAAAAAATAGATCATTAGTCAAATGACAAGTGTACAGTCACCCTTATTGAAAACCTTTTTGCAGTGATCAAATGCTGGAACATATAAATGTACGATTAAGAAAATGTCATAACCAGCTGATACATGATGCATCATTAAAAGGCAGTGCACTGTAAATTTAACAGGACCAACATATAGAATTCAAAATGTTTGTTTTGGATACACACATAAACTCTATAATTTTGCTCTGAAAAGCATGTATTTTCACAAAATCACATTTTATTGTTGAATAATAGCACTTATCCATTCTTCTCCATTAACAACAAATTTCTGCTTTTCTTGTTTTGATAAATCTAAATTGAAGTACAAATTATTATTATATTTCCTGAGAACAATGAATTTGAAGGGGGAAAAGAATTTGTCAGACTGGAAAATAACATTGTACAGATGCGATAAATAGGGAATAAAAAGGGGCATAAATAGGCCTGTACACAAGCAGTTCGGGTTTTTTGAAAATCAAGACAAGTCACAATAATAACAATAAATACAGGGCAAACAATCTGTGATTAAATAGAATGAGAAAAATATGCATATCATTCTTACAAGTTTATTAAACACACATTACAAATCATCCATGAATACATGTACTAGACTGGACTTGAAGAAAAAAAAGGAAAGAAAGAAAATGAAGTTAATCAATGATGTTAGTCTTTCTTTGTCTATGACTCAACAACAAGATCAACTAATAACACTACTAACCTCCATGCATTGTCCTGGGGACAGACGGCTGATTGGCTTGGGCCGTTAACGTATTGTACATTAATCTATCTGTAATTGCAAAGAGTGGATAAAATAAAATCTGCATCAGAGGAACTGTAAACACATTCAAACATGTCATTTTCAGACACATATGGTTTGCTCTAACTTTGTCACTTTATCAAATATACATCTCTACATGAAACAGAATTAGAAGCAGGAAAAAATGGATCTTTCACTTCATTTTTGTCTAACTATTTTCAAAGCTTTAGCAGTTCCTGCTCAAAGACTTTTCTCTTTATAATAATAAAGCAGAGACAGGAATGCTTGTTTCGGGCATCTAGCTTTTTTGGGCTCTTTAAATGGACAAGAAGGTATGTAGCATGAGCTTAGCAAAAACAAAAATAGACAACCATGCAGCAATGAAAAATGCAAATATCAGGTACATAGTAGATTGAGAATTGTTTTGAAACAAGAGTACAGGTATGTTTTTTCATGCATGTTGAACATAAGAAATAAATGCAGTTGGTAAAAATCCATTCTCAGATCCCTACAAAAATATTTACATTGTTCTTGGGACCCACTGAAAAGCTTTTAAACATTCATGTGACATACTGAAAAATAATGAAGTCATGTATGTTTTTATTTGTTGAAAATATTATGCTATTTAATGCAAGGTCATATACAGCATGACTCCAAAAATTCAGAAATCTTGTGTCCAGTAACACAGCAACAAAACCTACATGTAAGGTAGCTTTCATTATCTTAAATTAAGGAATGCTACATGTAGTACAGAACCTCTTAATATGAATAATATCAGTGGACCAGATAATAATGTATTGTCCTCTTGAAAATGATATAATGTATAATATCTTAATAAACTATAAACAGATATATTCTTGTCAAAGTATCTATCTACTTAAATTTTGTCAGTCATAATTTAGGTCTTGAAATGTAATGAGCATACTATTGTATCATTCTGGTAAAAGAAAAATACATAAAGGAGAAGTACTCAATGGTAGCAATAATGCTGACTGAAATATTGCATTGAGCACTGCTGATGATGCTTGCTTCCCGTCTATTCTTCTGCACTTAATTGTAACCATTCATCATGTAGCACACAACAAAAGAATCTCTAGCCAGCCATTTCAGTTGTTGGACAATTCAGATATACTCACACTTTGAAGAGGGTTGTGAAAAGGGGGTGCAACACCAATTGATTTTCAGGTCAACAAAGTTCAAATTCTATTTTTGTCATGTGTCCTGATCAAAATCTGAGTAGTTTGAAATTTAAAGAGTTCTAGAAGAAATTTTTTGATTTAATGCCTAAATGAATTGATAAATAAATTTTAGGTATTTGTGTTAAACAACAACTACTCTAGTGAGTAAATTATCAGTTTCTCAAATGGAAAGGTCGATCATCTTTGAGATATAATCTGTTTGAGACCTTGAAAATCACTGATAAAACTAGAAATGCAATAATTCAATTAGAACATTCCTCCATGTTGCTTCAATTTCACTTGCATTTATAAATGGAGCATAACTCGCAATATTTAGTTAATATGCATTGAAGTATGTTCCTCTTATCTAATAAATTGATCTACAATTTTTCATTTGATATTTAATTTATTTATACAGAAACTAATTTTAAAACTAACTACAGTTTAAACATATGAACTAGAATATTGAAAAGATAGACAGAGAGAAAGGAGAATTGTAGACACAATTCTGTTCATCACCCCTACAACAGGAGCTTTACCAGTTGCTGATCAAAAGCGCTGAAAACCTGTTCCGCCTAAGGCTAATTTCCTGTATGTGGAAATGGTAAATTTTGATCTATTTTTACGGCAACATTTTTTTATGATCACAGCTGTGCCCAATTAAAGCTGACCTATTTTGTTATATATTTGGCAAATCTCTATCCCCTCACTAATTCCACTTGGATCCGTTTTCTTGTTCTGGGTACTAATTCTATAAAGAGCCACAGTGGACTTATGCGTATTGTTTTTTCTGTTTTCATGATGTGCGATTGCTAAGCAGGATGGGTAAAGAGGAACAACAATTATTTCTACGGAATTGATACAGAGATCAAGAATGGATCTAAAAAGCTGATAATCATCCACTAGAGCTTACAACAATCATGCAATTTAGCCCTGATTAAAAACATGCATATAACAGCAAAATGGTCATGCTGTGTGTCACAGCACATTGTTAGTCATCATCATACTGAATACAATTTTGGGAAGAGGTGATTTTGAGTTGTTTCCTTCCCCAAACAGTGATAAAATACATGAACCTGTAAATTATGAATTTTTTTCCCCATCTGGTATGATAATCATTTACAAATTCTTTAGAAAACCACAAAATAAATTGAGGCTGTAGAATATCACACCCTTCAATTCAATGAGATCTGTGAGATTCGGAGGACATGTTTCCAACTTTTGTGCCTATCAAGTAACTTTATTTAAATTTTTACCAGCCTAGATCATTTGATATTCATTCATACATGTAAGTTATTATTTTCAATTCTAAGTCAAACACATTTTCACCTAGAGCCTCTTTGTCACTAATCTAATAATTCATCAAAGAATCTTATCTACAGAAACAATCCTTTGATCTAAAAAGCACTTGAAGTATTGAGTTTCCTATTGAGGGCAAAAGATTACAGAAGTAAGCTGTATAAATTTCTTTTAATTCATTGCTCAATTTTCTCCTAGAAAAACAATATAAAATCATTATAAAACCGGCAACAATATTAACTCTTAGTCTAAGCAGAATGGAATAAAATAATTCAGCAATCAATCATACTTACGTTGATAATTCTGGTAAGCCCCAAGTTGTGAGGCAGTGTAATGATCCCCGACCATACTATCATGATCTAATAAGGTATGAGAAAGAAAAACAAAATCACAAAGATCATTAAATTGATAACAATCCATGAATGAATAGCCATTGCACTGAAACCTTCCAAGAAGTGTTGAAACAAACCACCTCCCTGAACAAACATAAGATAAATGTTGTAGGTAGCTGTGTGGGTTGCAGACCATTCTATAAACTTTAGATTTCATTATATTGAAAGTAATTGGACCATTCATGAATTAAATACATGTTTGCATATTCATAGAAACACAACTTGATACATCAAGATTCCAAGAATGTTTCATATAAAACAATTTTTTTTTTATTTTTAAAAGCAATGGTCACTAGAGAATATGAATTACACATGGGAATACAAAAAATCTTAATTTTGTGAGTACACTGAGTAAATTTTAGCAAGAAGCAAAATACTTAAGGTGTAGTGAGCGCACATTTATTGATAAACAAAATAGGGGGAAATACATCTACTTGTGATACAATAAACCCTGTTAATAGAAATACATTACAGATTAGTGTACATCATTCCTGACCAAAGTCCCTCTTGTGCAAGATATCTGTACACTATCCATAATGAAGAAAAGAGTGCGTACACAATTTTTTTTTTATTCATCGACATAAAGCATAAGCAGGTGCTCCTGCAGTAATACACAACACCAAGAGAAAGGACCAATGCTTAGAGCGGCGCTGTTCTGACCTTGTTCACACTCTCACATATAAAGAACAAAGTGATTGATAAAACTGTTGAAAAGTACATGAATCATAAGTCTTGGGTAAGAACGTGTACTACATTTGTGACTTATTTAGAATGGTAGCCTTGATATTGTAGAAATTCTTTCTTTTTCAAGTCTAAATTTATCCATCTTAGATACTTATTATAAAAATAATATCACTGGATTCAATCATTCCTATCGAAATTTAGTCATTAATTTTACTTGATTAATTAAATAAAATTTGCTGATTGAAAAATTGTGGATTGGAAAACATGCCAATCTAGTCCTATTACTGAGTAAGTGGCACTTGTCCTGGTGTTTGTTAATTTATTCATTTTGTTGTTTAGTGTGAGTTTATCTTACACTATATCCAATGTATTTTTAAATGGCATATTTATCATGCATCCTTTGTTCATATTTTTAAGAAGAAATAAAATGTAAATTCAAAATCTTTGGAGAATGTGAACAGAGCCAAAGCTAGAAAGCAAGCTAGCCACCCAGCCAGCCACAAGGTATTGTGTTACATTGCGCAGGCTTTTCCCCCCATCTTGGCGATTCTTTGTGCAAATGTCACAGAGAATAGGTTAGTTAGCATGAGAAAAGAGGTGAATGGCTGCTGGAGAAACCTAAAGAAATAACAAGAATACATTTTGTATAGCAAGAAGAAATGAGATTTCTTCCCTCATAATGCATGAGCATGTCTGCATTGCACAGACCCTTTACCACTACTGAGTGTTTATCAAAAAAACAATCCAGTCACAGAACAATTGTACTGCAATCTTAAATGACGACTAAAATTATAGTAGTATAAATGTTTATTAATTATATACTCCTTGCTAGTAACAAATAATGTGATTTCACTGATTTTACTTCAAAATAAAACCAAAGTTGCAGCATGGGTCTTATAACATAGCCTAGAACAGAACATGGAATGGTTCTATTCTTACATCTACATTTTTATTCAGCATTTATGAATATTGTAATGGTACACATTACGTTCATCACGTCACAACATTTACAATTGCTGAAAAGAACATGTTACACAACTGCAAAAATGTATTATTAACATTTTAATGATTTAATCCCTCAAAAGATCATTCCAAACAGGCAGTCATATTGATAGATATCATATGAATGTTTATGGCAGAGAAAATATCTGACTATATTGCATGTATCTATCTACCAAAGTGCGAAGTAAAAATTGTTCTAATTTACCCCAGCACTTTGGCAATTACAGCTTTACACACGCAATTCATTTTGAATGAGCTGCACTTTCAACGAGCCTAATGAGTTCTTCCTTCTTTCTACCACCTGCCTGAAAACTCTTGATGAGTTATTTCTCACAACAGATGAAAATGGGTTTATACAATCATATGGACAGAGTGGATGAGTCTCTATTTAAAAAAAGAAAAGGGGAGGGTTACAGAGAGAGGGATAGAAGTGGAAGACATAGAAGGAGCAGTCAGACAAGTATAAAGAGAAATTAAGCATAATCTACAAAATCTGTTGTAGGCAAAAGGAATGGGTTAGAAGAGCTACAATTAAAAATGTATTCAAAAGCAAGCACACAAAAAAGAAAGATAAAGAATTGAAATGTAATTTGCTTCTCAATCTCATCAGATACAAAGTAGAAAAACCTTGAAATTTTTTCTCTTTAAAGATAAAGTCGAGTTCTGGTCATGCAATTATTGTGAAAGTAAAGGTGTGGAATCAATCAGAAAAGATTTAAAATGTAATATAGGTGTGTACTGTTAAGGTTCTGGAGTCATCAAAATGATTAAGAAAATTGGCCCAGTCTTGGTAAAGTATCAAGCACTGTACATAAAAAGATGAATATGGGACTACACAAACATTTGGCATAAAAATTGAGCCTCATTTTTAAGCTGTTACTTGTCATATTTAGAATATGAAGGCATTTGAAGAGCCATGCTTTTTTAGAGGACATTTTTACTCTGATGCTCTTCCACACTTGCATAAGAACAATAATAATGCTCACAAATTATTTATCACCTTTCCTCAGAACTCAACCTTCTCTTTAAAATTCATCAAGGGGAATTAAAAAGAAATATTCAAATTATTTCCTATGCAAATTGTTCCGCAGCGAGTTAATACAAAGCATAAAGATTCCTCTACACATAACTTAAGAGAATGTTTAATATATTCTTCATATATGAAACATTAAGGGTAGAGTTTTTCACAGGTGAACAATTTGAGCCAAACTTCAAAGTATACCTGGCAATAGATGTGAATTTACCTCCTGAAAGGGAAATGGATCACAAGACTTAGCAATTTACATTGATATCTGACATACATGTGTAGACTGTACCTACATACAGACTCAAAGTGATTCATGCCACATGAACTACATGTACACTGTGCACACCATGATTCAACAGACTCTGTGCCAGAGCAGAGTGGAGGGTGGTGAATAAAGCAAGTTTAAAATAGAATTCAGAGGTGTCGCTGAGAAGTACATTCACACTGAATAGTAGGTCATTCGGCTGTGACTGCGCTGCTCCTCGTAATCTGTGGCCTTATTAGGTCACAGAGTTCATTGACCTTTCACAGTAGACTATGGTGTAAGTCATGGTGAACCCAGAGCTATCAAGACACTCCTGTCTTCATACAGACAGGCTACAACAGGTGCACATCTAGTCTACTAGAAAAAGGAAAGGATCAGTATCAACCTCAAAAAGGTAATGAGTTGGTATGGGTTGGCAGGATTATTCACTAAACTTTCCAGGTTTTAAAGGAGGCCACTTCTTCTCTATTCATTATCTCATTTTAGCAAACACATGTGTGTGCAAACTTAGTAATTGTCATTATTCAAGATATGCATGTACTTTATATATAATCAGATAGTAAGATAACTGCAAAATCAAACAGCTGTAATGTTTGCTTCCTTCTAATCTGAAATAATATATCTCATTACTACATTTGTACATGCACTTATTTCAGAGACTTGCCTGATACTACAGTGCAGTAAAAAATAAAGTAAAAGATCCTACCATACATGTATGATACATAATACAATAACCTTTTGCCTTTCAAACATCTACAATGTGCATGCAACAGTGTAGCACAATGTACTGTGAATAGTTTTTTAACACTAAATCATACCATACAGTGTACATGTACATGTAGGTATCAACCCATTTTGAAAAAAGAACTACTCCGGTACAAATTGCTATTGTAATGTAATAATGTTATAATGTATACATATTTAATTTACTAATAAGTATAAAGTGGCCAAGGAACAACATGGTTTCATTTTAGAAGCCAAGCATAAAATGGGAGAAATTCACAAAAAATTAACCTAAAAAAAAACACAAACACAGGCGTACACAATTATTTGAAATATCTTTAATTCATAAGCATTCTAAAGAAATTTGAAATGTACATTACATGTGAAGAGAACATACATGTGTAGCAACTTAAAATGTGTACATTGCAAGTTACAATCAAATAGTGTAGTCAAATATGATCCATTTTAATAATTAACTTCATTACTTTAAAACTAATTACCGTATTTGCCGGCGATAAGGCCGCACCCCATGATTTTGACATTAAAAAAAAAAATAAAAAAAAAAAAAAAATTGTCGAAGTCGGGATTTGATCTCTTGCGTACAAATGTTGATGTGACTAAAATCACTGCCTAAGACCGCTCAAAAAAAAGGAACAAAAAAAAAAAAGATTTTTTTTTTTTTTGTCAAAGTCGGGATTTGATCTCTTGCGTTCAAACGTTGATGTGACTAAAATCAGCGCCTTAGACCGCTCGGCCATGCCGCACTAATGCTAGCATATGGAGTTTTCTGTGATGTATTCATTGCGCCTCTCTCTTGTGTATTGAAATGGATTCAAAATAATGACTTCGCGTGCTAGATGCTTCGCAGCAGCTCCGTTAAAAAGGCACTTCTTTTACTTTTGCAATGCATTGGCACGAACTTAGATCAAGATCTATCGGCAGATGTTGTTTTTGAAAGTTTATTTTCGTCTTCATGTCAACAATGCAAGATAAAATTGTCGGCAAGATGTGTGGAAATGTATAGTTATTGTACTGTTCGTACATCTAGTCCCATATGTGCAAATTTGTGTTAGTTTTGACTTGCTTTTTAAATTTTTTTTTACTCTTTTGCCGCATAGGCCGCACCCTGACTTTTTGATTTTTTCTCTTCCAAAAATACTGCGGCCTTTATGCCGGCAAATAAGGTATCAACTTTTTCAGATTTTCATTTTTGTTAAATGATGTGAATTAAAGATGAATCTACAATATTACTTAAAGTGTGACTAAGACTCTCTTACCCCAAATAAATGTGTTTTTAAAGTAGATATTCATTGATTTTAAAAACTAACTTTATTTTCATTATTGCAAAGTTGAAGCTTTGATTCGACAAGGTTATCAAAATTCAATGCTTGGACACATTCGAAGTAATGATTATTATAAATTACAAAATGCTTAAATACAGCCCCGGCATAGCACCTGAAGAGCTCTCCGAACGCTGCTGAGATGTGTGAGATCACAGTATGGACATGATTTGCACAAGCAGACGATGTCCCATGACATCTCACACATTTTCAGTGCCTGTGTTTTCATCTTCTCTTGGGTTCTTTCTCTTACTTCACTACCGTCAGGCTAAATGTATAATCTATTGCCTCACTCTAAACCCCGCACATGGTTTATTTTGATGACAAATGCACTAATGCAGCGATACAAAAATAAAGGAATCTGTCGATTGTAAGCAAAATAAGACGCCATTGTATATTCAGCTGCACACTACGCGGTATGTTCGGCGTTTCAAGAGGGAACAAATGCCGTCCTTAATATCATTCCGGGGGTTTTTCAATTTGAAAGTCTGGTTTCTTTGATTGTTAATTAACCCCTATCCTGTGTATTTACAAGCAAAAGATTTTAGTTATCAGAAGCAGGTCATATTCCTTTTGAATGGTTTGACATGCCATTACATTTATATACACTAAACTCATTATAATTTGACAAATAATAGCTTTGCAATTATGTTCATTCTTTATGGGATGTCGTCTGCTTGGGCAGTATTGGTCCATATAGTGACGTCATTAAAACATCGTTATTTTTCCGGCGAATCTCTCGTATATTCCAGCTGCTATGGAGGTGGTTGTATTTGTATTTTTATAAATCACCCGATATGTAGTTGACCTAAAACTTGTACGATGGCCATCTGTTCGCTTACCAGTTTCTAGTGATACATTAGTTGACATATTTGTGATTTTCTTTGAATTTCACCTTTAATGAAAAACGGCATGTATTGTGAACTAACTCCTACAGCACTGTATGTATATAACTGTACACTCCTTTTTATATTTATGTACATGTAAGAAGTGCACACACAATATATTAATATTTTGTCAATGTGCCTGTATAATGCATAAATCAATAATTAAGTTGTGAATAACATGTTTAGACTGCATAATTCCAAACACTGAGTTAATGACTCACACCTTTTTCATTGTTTCAAACACACTATGGATTTGGAATGTAATAAGTAAATGTACATGTACAGTACGTACTGTACATGTACAATGTCCTAAACATCTAATGAGCATTTGTAATACATTTTACACGTTATACAAGATATTATTGCACAAAATTGGAAAGATTGTTAGTTGCCATTTCACCGGATTTGTGTTTGCGCCCCTTGCAGTACATGTATGTATTTATTAAATAGTGGTCTGATATTAATAGTTTCAATGTGAAAGAAGAGTAGATCATGAAACGCAAGTAGTAATAGCATGGCTTTATTTCTTTAAAATAAACAAAAGTAGTAAGAACATAAAATGAAGCAGAAATCTAGCGATATATGATAATGCAATATCTTAAACCAACAAAAACAAAAAGAATGTTAATTTGTTTGAAGAAATATTAAAAAGCAAGTTCAAGTGAAGACCTAGAAACCCGTGAGCTGTTGGTGCATGTTACTTCAGGGTGAGTTGGTGAAGAAAGTTAACAAGAAGTGTTCCAAGAGAAGGAGATAGATATTATAAACATAAACGAGAAAGAGTGGTTTTAGAAATGATAAATTGAAAAAAAATGGAAACACATAACCAAAAAATTAAAAAACATCTCACATTGCCGTGCATAACCCAGGTCATTCTGTTGCTGTTGAGGTTTCGGTATGCCTACATGGTGACCTAATGATAAGAAATTAATGATAAAATGCAATTATCAAAATCAAAATAAATGGAATGATTTTAAAAAAACTTTCTAGACACTGACAATATCCAAAGACAAGAAGAAAAGCTTTGGCCCATCTGTCACATTTTTATATACATCAATGACCTTTACTTTTTGGCCTACATATCTTTGAAAACCTGTTCATTAGTTTGACCTGCGCAACAAACTAGGTCACAAAATAATTCTAGATCAACTCCACATGCTAGTCCTAGAGTGGTCACAGGACCAATGGAAGACTCCTGTCTCCTGGAAGTGGTTCCATACTGAACAGTGCCCAAGCAAATATCCACAATGTCACACATATTCTTATGTGTTGATCTTTATTCAAATTTAGATCTGGGAGATCAATAGAACCACAATAAAGTTAGTGAAGCACTTACGTTATATGACTAAAGATAATTTAATGATTAAGAACAGTATGCACAGGGGTATAATTCTCCAAGGCAACATATATAGAAGGCACATTGCCAATAACTTTTTCCTCATAAAAAGAGTCCTGTACCTCAGATTTATAAAAAATACATCCTTGGTCGTAGTCTACATGTGTTGTATGCAGCGAAGTGCCTTAAAATGGTTGATCAACACTCTACATTTTTTTTATACTTCTGCACATTTCAAAGCCTGGTCATTTTTTACAATTTCCAATCGGATTGCAGTAATAATATTCTCATGTAAAAGGAAAATAAACAAAACAAAACAAAACAATCAAAAACATCTCACGGTTGCAAAATCATAACTTGCACTCTTAATTCAAAAGAGGTGCATGGTAAATAGCATGGTTAACTACAGTACCAGAGCTGCCAAAGGAAATGAAAAAAACTCCTAATTTTGATCGATAAGTACTTTCTTTTTGTTTGACTGTGTTTGACTACATTTTGAGAATTAAGCATGACTACATTTTAAAAACATTTTGTTGAATATGCAAGATTTCGTCATGAATGATCCTTCAATGAGCTGCATGTAATATGTACATGTATTTTTATGGACCATTGGATGAAGATGCATGATTTCATCATGACTGGTGTGTTCGATGAACCAATGAACAGCCCCAAATCGCTCATGTGAGATGCTTGTAAGATACTTTAAGAGAATGGGCAATTTGTAATTTGAAAATGGCACACACACAAAGAAAAAAAAATACACAATCACATTCATTTTTTTTTTTTTTTTTTTTTTTTTTTTTTTGGGGGGGGGGGGGGCGGTTGGATGGGGTTGTATTTTATTGACGAAAAATCTTACTGCATATATACTTCTAAAATCGTACTGGTTGTCAGCTCTGCAGTACATGTCACTATTTCACATGTAGCAATCAAAATCAGAATACGAAGGGGTTTAGGACTTAAAGATAAAGTTGAGTTCTGCTCATACAATTGCATTGTGAAAGAAATGGTGTGGAATCGATCAGAAGAGGTTAATCATCTAGCATAAGTTTTGGTATGTTCTGTAGGGTTTTGGTATGTTCTGTAGGGTCCTGGAATCATCAAAATAATAAAAAATTTGGTCCAGTCTTGGTAAAGTTACAAGCACTGTACACAGAAAGACGTCCTACACGAACATGTGGTATAAAAATCCATCCCAAATTTTTATGATGTAAAATGTCTTAATTAAAATATTAGGGCATTTGAAGAGCCATGCTTTTCAGGGAATATTTTTTATCTGATGTTCTTCCACACTTGAACAATATTACAATGTTACCACTCACAACTTATCTGTCACCTCTTCTCAGAACTCAACCTTCTCTTTAAGGGCAACTTAGCCACACATCATACAATCAAAAAAATTTGATGAAATGAAATGTGAAAACATGTACAGGTAATTAAATAATTCCAAAATGGCATGTGGTAAATGTAAATTATAATGTATGTTTTCACTAGGTGCAAAAAATAGTTAAATAAATCTTACTAAATGTAGCTCCTACAGCAAATACATGTATGTTCTAAAAATAAGGGTCTATAAATGATTTTCAGACAATGACTGCAAAATTTTACAAAATGAGCTAAAGCTAACTAAGACCCAATTCTAATTAAGATTTTTAGAAGAAAATAATATCTCACAAACATTTTTGTATCAACCATTGACACTGTTGGTACAAACAATGTCAGTACACAGCATTCTTCCAGAATCTCGGGTAAAGGTAAAGGTAAAGTATTGTAGCCCAAGAGGTAACAAAATTCAGGTAAAGTTTTATGTTGAGGAATTGTGACATTCAGATTCATCATACACATATTTGGGTTACCACAAATATTTCACAACTTGTAATTGTAAATTATTTCTTTAACAACATCACTAAGACATTGATTAGAATAAATTAGATAGAGAGGCAAACAAAGAAATTACATCATACTCATTTCCGACATCTACCTGCACACAACTACCATACACAAAAGATTGTGACTACATACACAAAAGATCATCTTATTTATAGCTGTATCTTGAGACGTTGAGTCAACACCAAAATTTCAAGCACGATGAAATTCATCCATAATGAAGGAAATACACATGGATTAAGACAATCAATATTTCATTTCTAACTAGATCTAGACCCTTTTACTTGTTTCACCAAGTCTCCAAGACGCAACATCTGTGGAGTTCATTCATTCATCTTTTCATTCATTCACAAAAATCACTGCCGAAGCATGGATAGGGCTGCCAAAACATCAACCAGTAATGAAAGTTTCTTCATACATGAAAAACATGACTGAATTTTTGAATAAATTTATTACAGTTGACCAAAATGATAGCGAGAGAAATATCAGATACAGTTTCGAAATATGAAAATTATTAGAAACATCCATGACCCCTAACCCTCCATTTGTCAGCACAGCGAATGCTTTCCCGTTGGAACAATCAACAGAAATGCAGCTCTGCGATTGGCTCGCTGCGTTAATGGCCGCTTCATGCCTGCTAACCCTATGCAAGGGGCCCCAACGCGCACAGATCGGCCAAACAAAGGAATACAAAGCAACCTCTATTTTACTTCTTATTTTTTGGCCAGCTATGTTATTCTTCATTTTTTGCTTGTATCCACGTGCACCGCAAAAGTGCGGACTTTCGGATGCAAGTCAATTTTTTAGCTAGAGACATCAAATAGTGAAATGGCAAAAGAGAATACACGATGGAAAATCGACACTCGGAGAAGAAAAAAACAATCTTACTACACGCCATGGATAAGAAAACATCGGGCCTTCATATCGCTCCTACATTGAGAAATCGCATTGCGCTTACGGACAGCTCATGAATAACAAACAAGAAGATATATTAACACAAACTCCCCGTAAACTCACCCATTGGCAAGCTTGACATCTTGAAAATATCTGCAATATGAGCCTCTGTAGTCAATCAAAATGTTCTTATAGCAATGGAGTGCTTTTCAGCCTCCTCCGAAAAGCGAAATGTTCACTTTTAAATCCAGGTACGCTGAGCAGGTCTCGGCGATCGTGAAGCTTCAACAAAACATTCCGCTGGAACTGTGCGTCTTCCGGTAAAAAATTGAAGCTTTTGAAAGCCCGCCCGCAGGCGATGGACACAATATTTCTTTTGTTCTTCCTCTTTGTTGCGGATCAAGATTTTTATGTGTGTAATATTGAATTTATAACTTGCACTGATACACTCTTTTCTACATCAAACATATATTTTTGACTTCTCGATAAGTTCTCCCACTATCACTTTTCATACATATTCTCTGTGTGTCAGTCTTTCTCTTTTCCTTGTACTCTCTCTCATTCTCTCTCTCTCTCTCTCTCTCTCTCTCTCTCTCCCTCTCTCTCTCTCTCTAAATCATCCTCTCTCTCTCTCTCTCTCTCTCTCTCTCTCTCCCTCTCCCTCTCCCTCTCCCCCTCTCTCTCGGAAGGGAGTGGGGGGGGGGGGTATACACCTAGGCTTCCCGCACACACATTTTGATTGGTTCCCATCGTTCCTTCTACAATTCTTAATGTTTTCTTTTAAAATGAAACAAATATTGGAAACAACAGGATAGCAATATAAAATTATGCAATATTTGTTCTACATGTCTTTTTATAATTTTTCAACGAATCTATAATAGTATACTTACATGCATTCATATTGGTAAATATTTTACTTTACCCCCTCTCCCAAACATAATAGGTCATGATTAGTCCATGTACGTCTTTCATGTTGGTACTGTTGTTATTGTTACTGTCATTGTTATTGTTGTTATTATTATTATTATTATCATTATTTTTATGTATTTTTTAATTATTATTATTATTATGTTAATTGTTATCATTATTATTATTATTATTATTATTATTATCATCGTTATTATGAAGAGAGCTTATTCTTTGCGTCATTTACTCATTGACCACCGTAACTCTAGGTTATAGGCATGGTATTGATCATTGGGGAGGGGGATGCCCGTCTTAAAGCTTTCCTTTACGAATGATCACTTTTCGCCCAATAATAGTATTTGTTGTAGCCCCACCCCACCCCCCCCCCCACTTTACCAATGTGAAGGTCCATGACAAAAATACCATCACAACTTCAAATTGGTCTACAGCAAGCATCACTACCCCCTTCCCTTTATCATTTTCTGTATATACCACAGTTTTATCTGATTAATACTAAAAACATGGGACTAGTAGCTATTTTCTCCTATTTACACTCCTGAATCCGACCTATGGAAAACGCCATTAAATTTCAACAGCAACAACAACAACCATTTGACAATTTAAACAAAAAATAGATTTTATACCTTAACATATACCTAAAGCATAATAAGAATAAGATATTTACCAATATATTCATCACAGTAAAGTAGACTTCCTCAGTTAAAATAAAAATCTAACTTATAGGAAAATATAGCACCGTTGAATAAAATAGCTTACTAATTTATTTCATAAAATGGAGAGCTCTAATTATCTTATTTGAAATGTATATGAATCTTATGTAGAACCATTGGAATTACTAGTGCAAAAATAAAAATTCCCATCACAGTAAAAGCTTAGGCCTACGGATAACCTAAATACACCGAACCTAAATACCGAGGTACAGGCTCTCTCCGATTCATTCACATTATCGAACGTACCTTACCATTTTATAATCATGGAATGAAGATTAGTGATAATCTTGTAAATAAGAATATAGATGACTGAATTTCTCCTCATTACAACTCCTACGCACTGCAGAGGAGGAATAATCTAGACACCACGAAGAAAACAAGATTCCCTTCTTAAAGTCATTTACATACACAGTGACTGAAACAAGTACTGATGATATTTCAAAGTGCACAATTTCCTTTTTATTCTAGATTTACTAATACAAAATTGTTCTTTTTTATAAGAACCGAACAGGAATCAATGTGCTAAATACATGTATATAGCTTCATTATTCATTTTGACAGATGATTTACCATGTGGGCAGATGGAAGGATTTATCGAAAACAGGATAAATTGAGCACTAGATTTGGTCTTCAAACAGGGAAATGATTTTAAAATAAGAAGAACGAAAATGATTAATACGTCCGGAATATGGTTGCTCCGGGGGCTTAAACACTGCCAGGTTTGTATCAAAATAAAATAAAATAATACTAGACTGACCCCCATGCATATCCCCCTCGCAGTTGCCAGTAATTGGGCACTTCACTCACTTTGAGCATCCTCAAAATTATTCCACTAAAAGCTCTTCATCTTGCTTTAAACATATTCCTTTCACTTAAAGCATCACTAAAATGATGTGCTTTTCCGCAGATAGTTCTTTTTTTCTTCATTCTATCCAAATGGCAATCATGAACACTATCTAAAATGCAGAGTTTTCTAACCCCCCCCCCCCCGTCATGCCCATAATGATAACCATTCTGACAATAAGTCAGTATTGGTGGGGGTAGCACTCCCTGATCAGAAGCTCTGTTTATTATTCTTATCATCACCATCATCATCATCATCATCATCATCATCATCATCATCATCATCATCATTATCATCATCATCAGGGGCGGCGGAGCGTCTTCTTAAGTGACGGGGGGGGGGGTCACCTCAAAGCGAAAAATTACCACTCTTAGACATTGTTATGTACATTGTGATGATATTATGGGGGATGATATCAATATTTGTTTCTCTCTTTACATGGTCCAAGATACTCTGCATCATATACTTTGCAGACTACAGCGTGATGGTCTGCCTTACATTTGCAAGGGAGTGAAGCATTTTCTGATTTGTGAGGTTGCTGCAGTGTGACCAATTCACAATATTATAAAGAGGAAAAAAATCCTAATGGGTTTTTTTATTATACAAATATTACCATGAAAGACTGAGAAGACCTTTAAGTTCAATGCGAGCATGCGTAGGTAGCGAGGGAGCTTTGGGGGATTAAAGAAAAGGTTGCTCTTATTGTCGCTTTAAATTTTGGGCACATGTTATGGAGAAAGCAAAAGGACACTTATCAGAAGGAAAAGGGGCGGCATAGACATTAAACTGGGCATGCATGTGTCAAAGTAAAAAGGGTAATAATTATTATAAGAGGTGAAGGGGGACCTATCAGATTTTAATATGGGCATTTATCAGAGGTAACAAGGGGCATTTATAAAAAGGAGAAGGGGCTCTTATCAAAAAGGAAAAGGGACACCCCCATTCAAAGGTCAGCCTTTCCATTAAAATAAATCAAATGAATAAAGAAAGAATGGCATCCTCCACACCTAAAGCGGTCGATTTGGGATACGATATATAATCCATAATTTCTGCAAACATTATTTTAAGCGATAGAGAAGACAAATATGAGAACGGAATGTTTTGTGCCGTTTTCATAACAAAAAACAAAAAACTGTTTACAATATTTTAATGACTTTTAATGACAAAATCACATTTTCATAACAATAAAGTATGTGAAATATTATTCTCTCGATTCGCTCGCTCGCAAAATTTATGAACTGGAAAGTTGATATTTGGACAATGGACTCCAGCTCTCCGATGCTTGATTATGCACTTGTGCCTATAATTATGAGTGCCCCTATCAAGTTATCCATCAAATGAAATCGCCCTGTAATGATTATTTTGTGAATGTGAACTCCCGTACTATATACATGTACGCAGGCGCGTACGCAGGGGGGGGGGGGGGTGTTTGGGGGGTTAAACCCCCCTTTGGTATTTTTTATGTGTATAAACCCCCTAAAAAAAAATTTAAAAAAAACCTTTGTTTTTTGTTTTTTGTTTTTTGTTTTTTTAATAATAAACAAAAATAAATAAATAAATTATTCCCATGGCTGACCTAAAAAAGGCGACCTTACCCCCCCCCCCCAACGGAGCAAAATGTCAAATTTTCAAATTTCGAGACCAAAAAAAAAAAAAAGTGTCTTCTTACCCCCCCCCCCCCCCTCCCACTCCTCCTCCTTTTTCAATGAACATGATGGAGGGGGAGAGGAATTCTCATGCATTACTTAAAATAGATCTATGGTATAAGAGCAAAATCATGATGTCAAGAACGATTGGCAACCAATTTCGAACTTGATAATAAAACATGAATGATTTATTTTGTGAATGACCAATCATACGGTTTAAAGTTATAGACTAGCTTTAGTATTTTGCGACTGTGAATAAAGACTAATTCTTTCGTTTTTCCTTCTCGGGAAAACGATTTATGAATATTTATCAGTAGGTTCGTGTTAATCTCCCTGATTGGACAGAGGGGGTTTGTGTGGGCGGAGTTAAATAAGTGAATATTTTGAATACACACGGTACACAGCTAGCTGACTATTTGCGGGGATATTATTTTGACTTCTTTGAAGATTATTTAAGACTAGTACTGCCACAAATAAACGTGAGTATATATTAATGCAATGTAAAGAAAGATAAAGAAGATTCCATATTAAATTTTAATTTGTATCTTTTGAATGGCTAAATTTAGACGATCGTTTTTGATGCCATGCCGATGGCCGCGACTGACTTGTCGTTGTCTCAAGGACTGAATCAATGGAGCGCCGAAGCTCCCCCACCGAAATCGGGCGCGGACCGGACCCCTGGGTGTTCATGTGTGAATGCGAGTTTGATTGTGAATGAGTGGAGGAGCTGAGCTGAGTGAACCTTTGTTCTTACATTATTTAAAGGGCAAGTCCACTCCAAAAATAACTTACTTTCAATAAAAGCAGAAAAATCAGACAAACCAATCAAAAAAACTAATAATACTAGTAATAGTCTAAGAAAGTTATGAATTTTTGAAAAAGTATGTAAAACCATGGATTAATGGAACAATGAGAATCACAACACAATTTGCCAAGATGGTTATCAGTTTTTGACTTCATATCCTCACAACTTATCAATTGCTTTAGATAGTTTAATTCCATTTATTTCCCTTTTTATCCCCCAAAACTTGATTTCCCCATGCCTTTGCCCAGGTTATATGATTTGTATCGTATTGCGTGCATGAAATTTCCCCAAAACTCTTATGAATTTTGAAGAATTGATACTATTTTCTGAATATTGTATTTCATAATTATTGATTTTTTATATAAAAAGTTTATCAAAATTCAATTTTTCATGATATAACTGGACAAAAATTACTCTTTATTTGTGCATCCACACAAAAACATATTACTAACAAACTAACTTGAATGTAGACAGAAATAACCGTCTGATTTGGTCATTTCTTTTATAAAACTGACATTTGTTGACATTCCCAAATACAGACGGCAACCCAGGGATCTCGTACCGTGGGGGTGGCTAGAGCCACCGATGTACATCTTTTCGTTCAAAACATTTTCTCCCCGATTTTCTTTATTTAGATCTTATTTTCTGATTTCTAAATCAGATGTAAATTAGGTCGGTAATCGGTACCTCCTAATTACAGTTTTCAAAATTTGCTAACCTATTAATTATAGAATGTGAAATTTACGGACTTACTTATTATGAGTTATCCAATTTTATCTCAGAACCGCGAATCAGTACGTTCATGCATTCAAACTATTACCCGGCGGCCGATATATTTTTCCGGTTCAACCTACCAAAACATAGCCAAAGGCCAATCAGAGCACTCGCTTCGTGGGAGTTCGTTGGTCAAGCCGGGCTGACTCGTACGTAGCTACGGTAGCTATTGGACGTTCGAAAAGAAAAAATGAATATTCATCAACTAAAACCAAGACGGATAATGTTGACGACGAGACTTTCTCGGATTAATCATTAATTTAGGATCTAAATGAGCAAGCTATCGTAAGTCAAATAAGCTATATATATATGTTATTTTTAATTTTTATTATAATTGCAGCAGTTATGAGGATGTAAAGAGTGAAAATCTTGTTGCATATCTCATTCATCGCGGTCTGGTCGAACCGAACCATTTGTTCCGTACAGTCCCGATAGGCCATACTTCAGTCTCTATAATCGGAGGTCTAGTGGAGCCAGACGTAGTCTCAGTGGAACAACAGACGATTAGAGAGACTGAAGTTTTTGGTCTAACTTGGATGCTGTTGTGAAGCAATAAGATTTTTAGGGTGAAAATAGGAAATTTATATTATCAATATAAACAAAAATAATTAGTGGATAGTGAGGACCATACGTCACAGCCTCATGAGTGAGTTGCCAATTTTTGTAGTGATTTTAAAAGTTGTTAATGTCATTAAAATTTCATAACTTTCTTATTAGTTTTCCAATTTTGTTAAAACTTTTTTGATTGGTTTGTCTGATTTTTCTGGTTCTATTGAAAGTAAGTTATTTTTGGAGTGGACTTGGGCTTTAAAGTAGATATTCATTGATTTTAAAAACTAATTTTATTTTCATTATTGCAAAGTTGAAACTTTGATTCGACATGGTTATCCAAATTCAATGCTTGGAAACATTTGAAGTGATGATTATTATAAATTACAAAACGCTTAAATACAGCCCCGGCATAGCACCTAAAGAGCTCTCCGAACGCTGCTGAGATGTGTGAGATCACAGTATGGACATGACTTGCACAAGCAGACGATGTCCCATGACATCTCACACTTTTTCAGTGCATGTGTTTTCATCTTCTCTTGACTTCTTTCTCTTACTTCAATGCCGTTAGGCTAAATGTATAATCTATTGCCTCTCTAAACCCGCGCATGTTTTTATTTTGATGACAAATGCAGCGATACAAAAATAAAGGAATCTGTCGCTTGTAAACAAAATAAGACGCTATTGTATATTCAGCTGCACACACCGGGGTATGTTCGGCGTTTCAAGAGGGAACAAATGCCGTCCTTAATATCATTCCGGGGTTTTTTCAATTTGAAAGTCTGGTTTCTTTGATTGTTAATTACCCCCTATCCCAGAGCTGCCAACTAGTACGGATTTTCCGTAATTGGTACGGAAATTAACGACCATTACGGAATGTTGTCTCAAATTACGGATTTAAAAAAAAAAAAAAAAAAAAAAGATTTTTTTTTTTTTTTTTTTTTTTTTTTTTTTTTTTAATGAATTAAATATGATTTATCGTAGCGAGTGCTGTGAATAGGAGCCATTTTTCATGATAAACTGTGTTGTGATGACCTGAAATTCAATACTTAACATCTTTGTGTGAGTAAAATCACCAAAAATTTCAGATAATCATGCGTCCGCGCAGTGTTGGCGTGTCGTTTTTTTAGATTCATAGCGCCGCATAAGAAATTACTGATTTATACCCCAAATTACTGATTTTGAGCCTTGTGATTACTGATTTTCTGTTCTGGAGGTTGGCAGCTCTGCTATCCTGTGTATTTACAAGAAAAAGATTTTAGTTATCAGAATCGGGTCATGTCCCCTTTTGAATGGTTTGACATGCCATTACATTTATATACACTACACTCATTATAATTTGAGAAATTATAGCTTTGCAATTATGTTCATTCTCTATGGGATGTTGTCTGCTTGGGCAGTGTTGGTCCATATAGTGACGTCATTAAAACATCATTATTTTTCCGGCGAATCTCTCGTATATCCCAGCTGCTATGGAGGTGGTTGTATTTGTATAAATCACCCGATATGTAGTTGACCTAAAACATGTCCGATGGCCATCTCTTAGCTCACCAGTTTCTAGTGATACCTTAGTTGACATATTTGTGATCTTCTTTGAATTTCACCTTTAAGACTGAAAGGACAGTCTCTGTTATCGACGGTTATTCTGTTGAGACTAGAGGTCTATGTCTGGCTTAGACCAAAAATTTCTGTCTCTTACTTAGTCTTTCGTTTGTTAAAATGTTAAAGAGTCTTATTTGGGGTAGGGGACCGGGGATAGGGCGTGTAGAACATCTTTAGCTTATATTTACTAGCGCATGCCACGAAGATGAAATATGAAGACACCCAACTACGAGAAGGAAGAAAATAAAATTGAACTGGAAGCCCGACTGCTGAGAACACAGCATTCTTCCAGAATCTCGGGTAAAGGGTAAAGGTAAAGATTAGTTTACGCGCTCTCATTGGCCGATCCGCTCGAGTGGCTTCAAATTTAAGTGCGAGAGGAACTACTTTACTTAAGCGCAACTTAGCGCAACTTAAGTTCAATGGCAAAGTCAATACGTAATATTACGTCATAACACAGAGATTTTGACACGTCCTGCTTTAAACAGGTGACGCACTTCACACACAACTGATGCACACACGGCATTGCAAAAACATAAAATAGAAAAATCAACGAACATCTCAGAATAAATTTCCAGTTTGTACCTTAAATATGACGAAAATGAGAATTGTTCAAACTTTAAAAATAGTTAAGTGAAACTTAATCTTATTTAGCTGAGGCTCTAGTGATGCTACACCCTAAATATTCTGTCATGAAAAAACAAAAATTGACTTTAGTCTTTAGCTTTAGGAGTTTAGAGGTTTGATTTCACAGCATTAACAGATTACAATGAATATATTTGTGGCAAAAAAGTTGATTCTAACTTGTTGCCTATGTATGGAAATAAATAGCATCAAGTTGATCTAAGAATATCTACAACAGGGTTTTGTTGCGTGCGCCTGTAATCCAGCTAATAATGAAAGTTGCAAACTGATTCAGCCGAGGACGCAGGTTCGAAACTGAGTCACGTCTTTCGGATGGGGACGTTAAAATGTCAGTCCCCAGATGTAAATAATCATATCTGATTGATTTGATACACAATTATTAACACACAATTATATCGAGTCTGGCCTTAGCCCTCACTCATGACTCAAGTTACTCATCCAATTTGGATTCCAAACATTAATATTGTATTCATAAAATGCCTTTGAAAAATTAATTTCCTTACTATTTCTTGCATAATTACTTTCACAAAGGTTGACTTTAAAATTTGAAGTTGAACTTCACTAATCATAGTTAGCGTACAATATAGTACCACCACTCAACACTGGCACCTGCATGTACTCATGAATGTAGTTCTACTCAACACTCTCAGATGATTCTGTGACAGAATGGCAACAACTGAGACAATGTTTAGCTAATTCACCTTCGTATTCTGTTTTTCATGTAGTCTGGTAGTTGGCCTTTGCTATACCACAACTTCATGATTAAATGATAACTACCGGTATGCACAAATATCTTACGAATGCTTTCTTGAAACAAGTTTCACTGAAAATACATCCTGTTGTCTTTAAATTTGATACTTTTGATGATCTATAATTTCTATATGATAGATTTTGATTTAATAAAACCTTGTTTTTATTTTTTATTTTTTATTCAGAGGCAGACATGGACTTAGAAGAGAAGATTGAGAGGTTGAAGCGGGAGCTGTATGAGAGTGAAGCCAATGTTCACAAAGCAGCTTCTTTTGGTAAAGATCTCCTTGAAACAAATAGAGAACTAGAGCAGAGAAATGAGGATCTCATCATTGAACACACCAGACAGATCGAGGTATGACCAAATCCTCATTTTCAGTTTTAAACTTTTGTGTTTCACTTTTGTGTATTGTATAGTGAGCTTTTTGTAGCTATATTTTTTATTGATTCCATATGAGATCTGAAAATAATTTGGGGCAAATATTCATTTAGTCTAATATATTTCACAACAAAATTTTGTCAACAGACAGAAGTATGGTGTAAATGTTTGTTTAATTAAATGAAATCTAAGATATACATTGCCTCTACATCCTATCTCACTTTCTCCATCTCTCTGTCTCTGTATTTTCTTCTGTGTCTATTTCATCTCTTTCTATAATTTTCTCATTCTCCCTCTCACTCCTCTTCCCCTGTCTCTCTCTCTCTATATTTCTTGCTCCCTCTATTTCTTGCTCCCTCTTTACCTCTCTCTCTATCTAATAGATCTTTTTTTTGTCTTTCTCTTCTAATAGGAGCTGGAACAGGAAAAGTACTCTCTTCAGATGCAGCTGGCCAACAATAAGAGTATGGAGCGCCACAATGCCTCTGAGATTGAGAATCTGAAGCAGGAGACCAGAAGGCTGAAGGAGCGCCTGGAGCTGGAGCACTCCCGGGAGGTCCAGAAGGTTAAGACCACCTGTGAAGGTGTCAGGTCTGATCTGGAGCTAGCCAGGATCCAGAATGAACAGCTCAGGGAACAGGTAACTTTAAAGTGTACCAATTACCAACAAAACATTTTGTTCTCTTTGTTAATTGTTACGGGTTCCACTATAATAGAAGATTCAATTAGTACTTCTATGAAGAGATATAGCAAGTTTAAATCTCAATTTTAAAAAAAAGCAACTTATGAGTGGACTTCTTGACACACAGGTATGCGTAGCACAGAACTCACGTTTAACTTGGGTTCCGTGCACAGGGTTTTATGTTATTAAATACATCATAATTTGTATATTCAAGTTAGGAGTTCCTGTAATCCAGGGCTTAGTCTTGACCCAAAGTCCTAAAACTTTTACACAGGGCTCATGCATACAGACTCTAAAAAGTTCAGTTTGGGCCCCTTCCAAAAAAGTTAGAATGCCGCCCTGCTTTAAACTAATAATAATACCGGATGCGCAATAGGGGGAACATTAACCCATTGACGATGAGAATCTGGCGTTCCCTGTATTAAACATAAGTGATATAATGAATACTAGTCTAGATGGGTTAAGTGGCAAACAGTTTACACACAAAAATACCCCAAAGAAATCTTAGATTGCAGAGGAACGTGACTTTAGATGCAAGGACACTGTATTGAGTATCAAGAATTCATTAATTAATTTTCACTTCACAAGTACTGTATTTAATATATGTTCATGGCAGGTGTCTACTTTGGAGAATGATTTGGAAGAAGCCAGGAGTATATCAAACATAACAATCATGGATGTGACTACAACATCAGAAGAAAGATTGTCTACAATACAGGAAGACGTTATCAGCTTGACCACTGAAAAGGTAATAGTTATCAACTGTCTCTTTAATCTTTTTGCTTAAGTCATTCATGCTTCTATATCCAACATGTGAAATTCATCTATGCACTATTCAGCATTTGAATAAGTATTTTAGAACTGAGCCCTGTCTTATAAAGAGATCCGATTGATGTGGATTGATCGCAAGTCCTCCATTCAATTGTAAACTTACAAACAAGATACTGAATACTAAATACAATATAAAAAATGACAAGAAATGCAAAGTTAGCAAAATTGACGGTACAATGTAGTAAAGCATTTGACAACCTTAGAAAAGAAAATTATATGGTGACACTAACATATCAAAAAATTGTAGTATTAACAAATAACAAATAACTTCAGTGTTGCATAAGTGATAGGTCTTATGTTCAATTTATTCTAAGAGTTCTATCATTGGCTTTCTTAATATCACTTGTAAAGTAGTATTTTAAAAATTCCAATGAACACTTCCAACTGATTCACTTTGTGCTACAGTTGCAGCTTTCGAGTCGTGTGAAAGACATGGGTCATGAGTTGGAGCAGCTTCGATTCACCAATCATAAACTGAAAGTAAGAAATGAGGAGGTGGAAGGGAGAGCAGAAGAGGAACATCAGCAATGTCTCACATACTCTAGATCACTTCAGGTAGGTGCTGTCTAACCATTAAGCACATACAATGTTCACAAATTTTCAGGATTGGTTCAGACTTGTGAAGTTTATTACTGGATTGCAATGGACAAAATAACATTTTTGTTTTAATTCATGAAAGTAACTTGTTGTGACTATGGCTGAAAGTTTTGCAAAAGTTTCATCTGACAAAGGCTTCTGGTTCTACTGTAGATCAACACTGTCTGTAAATAGTGTATTTTGTATGCAAGATTTTCTGTAGTGCAAGAGATTGCATAATGGCTCAGTGATAGAGCAGTGGTCTTGCATTCAGAAGTTCTGGGTTCAATCCCTGGCAATGCATTAGTCCTCATTACCTAGTCCTTCAGATGAGATTTGATTAGAAGCAGTGGGTCCCTACAGTCAGTCATTCAATCAAAACACACTTCACACTCTTCCTAAGGAGAAGGGAGTTTTTAAAGAGAACACCAAGAGGAATTTTCTGCAAATTCTATGTCCACAATCCCCAAAATATCATAAAAATTTCTTCTTCCTCCCAAAGTTAGAACAAACAAGATTTAAGTGCTTTTAGATAATACACATGTTCATTAATTTTGTATTAGTTTAATTTATGAATAGATAACATTTCCCTCATATCAGAATGTATTAAAAATATGTTGTGTTGCTCATTATAAAGAAATGACAACACCACTCTTATTATTGATATATTTGGTTGCATTTTTCTATTCAGGAAACTCACAAGCAACTTGAGGAACTCCAAGCTGAGCTAGACCTGATCAAGCTAGAGTCAACAGATCCTAACAAAAAGGGAAATTCTCTATTTGCTGAGGTAAGTCATGATCTTAGATGATATTCAAAACAAAGCATTTTTTGTTTGCGCATTTGTTTTTTCTTAAATTCACTGAGTAGTAAAATAAGATTGTGACCAGCCAGGGTTGTACACTAACTTGTATTGGGGGGGGGGGGGGGGGGGGGGGGGGAGGTGGGTAAGTATATTGGTCACCTGTTAGTGTCAAGCCTTGCACAATACATCAATTAACCTTTTATATTCTTGCCACCCAACTAATCTACTTAAAACCAATGTTTGATAAAACATCTGTGCATGACAATCATTTAAATCTATACCCTTTTTAAGTTGAACTTGTTTTATACAACTGTTGATTTTGGAATCATTATTAGCACACTGTTGATATATTACTATGTTTATGATACAAATACATGTAAAGTCAAATTCTCAGAAAGTATTACTGTGTGAAATTGCTGCAGAGGCCTTAGGTTAAGATATGTACAATGATTGGCAGATATTAACAAGGACAATGTTGTTGGAATTTTAATTGAAAATATTTAAGTGAAATTCACAAGATGATTGACAGGTGTGCTGCAGTAATTTACACTTTATTTATTGATTTGTAATGTGGGGTGGTGAATGGCAGTGTTCATTTCATGAAGGTATTTCCTGTAATATACATTGAAGAAATCTGCAGTCATTGCTCTCTCACAAGAAGCAGTTCATGTTAATTAAGGTCATTCAATTCATGGCAGATTTTGAATGCAATGCTTTAATTCACTGAGGCTATTTCATTCACATTGAAATGTGTTCTGGCAATGGGTCCTGGGGGGTGTTTCATAAAGCTGTGCGTAAAGTTACGCATGACTTTACGAACGACTTGTATATGAAAAGCCAAATGGGATGCTCAATCATTATTGATTATTATTTTTTAAGTTGACTTGTGCAGATGCAGATTAACATTCTTATTATAACAACCATTTTTAATACAAAGTATATTTGTTGCCATAATTTAATTGAGGTTATTGAAAATATCAGAAAAAACTTTGGGCATCCTATCTGGCACTTCATATACAAGTCGTTCGTAAAGTCATGCGTAACTTTACGAACTCTTTATGAAACGCCCCCCAGGATTTATTCATGTGGAATAGTTGGGGGGGGGGGGGGAATTGCATTGTCTTTTTTGCATGCATTTTTAAAAAGATTAAGATTATGATTTCATGAGCAATGGAAAAACAGAAGTCATAACCAGTTGAATGTCTTAAAGGCATCAAGCAAACTGAGGATATAGTCACATTTATCTTGTTTGTATATGAAGTAGAAAATGGCCATGCAATCTCATTGAGAGTTATTCTGGATGGTGAATTATGTATTAAATGATAATAATGATTGTTTATTATGCAGGTACGGAGTCATCATGATTATGACAAATTCAATAAATCTTATGTCCAAGCACACCAAAAATCTGGACATATAGAGTACCAGTGTAATATGTAGGGTGTATAGGACTATAACAAATCTCAATCTTGTGGCATCAATTCGGTCCAAATTTGTGAGCGTTTTCTAGCCATAATATAAATATACCCATTTCAAATATGAAAGCATTTCATGTCCATTCCCATCCGTTACCTAGGAATTGGTATTATGATATTCTTAATGATTATTCTTCTACCTGGAAGTAAAAACTGACAAAGCTTATAACTTAACCTGTACCGGAACTCGACCTTCTTGTTAAAATGTTGAAAGATCATCTTCTTATTTTCTGTATGTAGGTTGAAGATAAGCGTCAGGCTATTGAGAAGAAGATGATCAGTCTCCAAATTCACCATGATGCTCTCCAGAAACAACTCAACCACAAGAAGCAACAGGTGCATGGTCTCAAGGTAAGCTAGGCATCCATTATGCCTATGAAAAAAAGATGTTGTATTGTCCTTTAGGTGCCAAAACATGGGCCGGTCGGTCAGAAATCTTTTCTTCTTCCCCCCCCCCCCCTCCCCCTCTTTGGGCTAATTTTTCTCAGTTTGGATGCTTTAATATTTTTTTTTCTCTAAAAAACGGTAACAACAACAACTAAAAAAAATTCAAAGAGCTGACCATAGATTTCAAGATTTTTGGGTCGGTCGCAAAGGGCAATATAACATTTTTTTTTTTAGGCCTTATGTAGGTCACTCTGAGGAAATCTTTTCTATCATTATTTAGGTAAGAGCAGTTCCAAGAAATGCTAACTATTGCCATAGGTAGTTCAAAATTGGCCAGAATTTGATACTGTGTATTGAAATTTTGGAGAAAGTAAATCTTTCCTCATTTTAAAAATTGAAATAGGTCCATGAATTTAGAAGTAAGATGTTATTGACCAATGTCTATATCTATCTAACACTAAAAAGAAGAAGACAGAAATATAACAGAATAATGGCTGAAATGTATCAAATAGTTAAATTTATGGTACATTCATGATACATGAATTTGGTGTTATCGTAAGGTTAAGTTATTTGTTAAAGGGGTTGTAGCAAAGTTTAAAGGTAATACAAAGTTTTGGTATAGGGTCATGAATTTGGTTCAAATGAACATATTGGAAGCGTGTGCGATGCTACAATATTCAGTGATCGTTGTCGCGGTTGAAATCGAGTCTAAAGTTATGAAATTGTAATGATAAACTCTTTATGTTGTATAGCTCCCTCTCAAGGTCAAGATATTAATTAAGCTATAAAACAATGTTTCTTGATTGAAATCGACCGATTAGCTATTCCCCGTTTGAAAATTATATATCACAACTACATATTCTGAGATTTACAACTATCATTGTACAGCTGTAGGCGCTATTTGAAATTTATCAAAATTTACTGGGAGCACCGGTAAATTGTTATATTCAATTTTTCTCGAAAGCAGAAGTGTTTTAAGGGCTAAATTTTCTAGTGCTTATAATACATCCACAGGGGCATCCAAATATATCATCATTGTAAAGAATCACTATCCACCCAATTTTCAAAATTTCCCAAAACTTTGTATAACGGTACCTTTAATTTAATTGCTGCAGGATTCCGGCATTACATTAACATAATTTCTAAGTTGTTACTCCATTTCTTGATCATCTTCTTACAGTACCAGATTGCTGGACTTCTCCAGATGGACAGAGGTAGAGTAGCAGCTGACCAAGTGGAGCGGTTAGAGCAGATGTTAAGTCAGAGCAGAGGAGAAGTCCAGACTCTCACACAGAAGCTCCAAACTGTACAGAATCAAAAGGTATATTTAGAGTAACATTCACAGGAGAAAGGGGGAGGGGATACCGGTAGCAACTATTTTATAGAGTACCTAAAGGTGGAGCAGTTAGAACTGATGTTAAGCCAGAGCAGAGGTGAAGTCCAAACTCTCACACAGAAGCTCCAAACTGTACAGAATCAAAAGGTATATTTAGAGTAACATTCACAGGAGAAAGGGGGAGGGGATACCGGTAGCAACTATTTTATAGAGTACCTAAAGGTGGAGCGGTTAAAACTGATGTTAAGCCAGAGCAGAGGCGAAGTCCAGACTCTCACACAGAAGCTCCAAACTACACAGGATCAAAAGGTAAATTTAGAGTAACATTCAGAATACCATCCTAGATCTATCAATGGTATGGTAAACCTGCAACTTGTGTTTGCATATGTAATAGACACAAATTTTGTGAGTGGTTCAGATTCGTAAAAGTTTCATGTTGCAAAAATAATTGAATCAAAGGTGACACTGCCTTTTTGTGATTTGCGAACATTGTCTTCAAGTGAAAATCGCTGATATTTACAAATCACAAAAGTTAAATGTTTTGGGTTTTACAGTACTCAATTATACTCCCCAAAATAAGAGCTGGCTTATGTTATTAAGTTATAATCATTTTTCGTATTATTCACAAGATGGTTGATATGAGACCAGTTTGAATTCAGGACTTTTTGACTTGATGTAGGGTATTTACGCTTTTGAAGGCCTATTTATCCAAGGTTGCTTGTTCCTCTATTTGCAGATGCCAGCATTTTCAGCTAACCAGGCTGAGGGAGCTGGAGTTAACATGGATCTAGATGGTTTGAAGCGGTTTTATCAGAGCAAACTGGAACAAGTCAAGTATGTTTTTTGTATTGTATTGCTCTCAAAATCAGTACCCCAGTAATTCTATAAGACTTACCCCAAACCAAAAATCCAACAAGATCTTGGACATGGAGAGTGTTATAATTGTATGTATGGTCTATTGTCGGTTTGATGTTGGCCACATCTGTGTGACTTGGGTAGGAAGTAAGCGTTTGTACTGTGCATCAATATGTATCTAGGTATTGTGAGTTGAATGAAATGCATGTGTTTATTGGCTGCTAATAGTCAGGTTTCATTAGTAATAATGATAATAATAATAGTTAGAAATTAATATTGTGCAATTCCTATACAAATACCAAACTACACATAGCAACATGTTACAATATAGCATAGAACAATAGACACTTGATAAGAACTTGTATTCAATCACATAAAGAAGAATATTCAAAGAGGAATTGGAAGAGTATGCTGGTTTAAAATAGATTACTAAACAAAAATTCTATTCAGGCATTTGAAACCATTCTTCAATAATTTTCAGTTGCATTTATTAAAACTAAACATCTGATCACTAATTTCATAGGAAAGAGAAAGAGAAGATGGAGAGAGAGCTTCGGTCGGAGCGGACAAAGCGTATGTCTCTGGAGGATCAACTAATTGAGTGCCAGCGAACACTTTACGGAACCGAGAGAGAGGTCCAGCGTATCAAGTCAGCCAATGTCATGATCACTCTTAAGATGGATGAACTCAAAGCCAAGCTGGCTGAGAATGGTAATTATAATCACTTTGACGCTTTCACTAGAGCAATACTGTATTCAGAAAACCTTCCTTTTCTTAGAGTAATGAATTAATGAGGTATATCCTATCTGCTTAGTTAAAGCTACATTTTGGTGTAAAATTGTTATCTATTTGAGATAAGAAGTACTTAAACACTGCAAGAATTTTTAGGGTGACTTACAAATCGTCAACATTTTATTTGAGGCATGTATATGTAATGTCCTTTACTGCACCAAACCATCATGAGATCAATGTTCTGAAAGTTACCGTTGCATGCAAAGAGACGTTGAGGCAGAGGAAACAGTCAGAATTAAAGGTTATGCTTTTTCTGAAATGATTGTGGGTATATGTATATCACTCTTTGAAGTCGTATATGGTGATAACAGTTCATATTAGTTTGATAAGGGTTATGTCATGAGCAAAAACAAAAATAGTCCTGTCTTAGTCTCTCAAGTATTAATGTTATTGCATGTCATATTCATAACAATTTCAAAACGAGCAATCACAATCATTATTATATAAATAAGGCTTCCAAGTGGTACAATAAATTAGCATATTCAATATCTTTAGCGCAGTACCCGGATGACTGACCAATATTGTTTTTGTATTGCTCAGTCATCCAGGAACTATTGATATCGATATCATACGGAAAAAAAAGCCATATTAACCGAGGTAAGTCAAATTTATTATTTCACTAGTCAGAATAATATAGATAATAATAATATTGTATGACTTTGTTTTTGTGTGATACAAGAATATATTGCTCTCGCTAAGACTCGTCTTTGAATCGTCCCATATTTTCATAGCTAGAGCAATATATTCTTGTATCACACTCCACAAAACCATCCAATATTATATAAATATTGCACATTTTGAAGACAATATTCCATTTTTCTTTTGTTTTTTTCTCCAGGTATTGTTGTAGACAAAGAGGTGAAAGGAGGTTACACTGAAAAGATTCCTATTTCTGAGAAATATAAGAAGAAACCCAAAGAACCAACAGAAAAGAAAACAGCTACAGAGATTCCAGGTAATGATATCCACATTTTCGAGTTTACTCCAGACTCTTTAAAGATCTGAATGCATTTTTTTAATTATTTAGCAGATGAAATAGTTGTAAAGAAATGAAGATCTTTCTGTCTTTACCTCTGAACAGCTTTCTAGGTTGGTTTTTATCAGAATATGAAATAAGACTTCTTTTTTTTAATGTTATGAATTTGTAGAAATTCTGTACCAAAAGTTACAAACAAGGGCAAAAAGTCAGATAGAAGGTTTGATTTGAATCACAATCTAAACAATGATATAAACAAACACTGTTGAATAGTTCATGAATATCTTTGAGAAATATTGTACAGACTCCACAACCTTGTCAATCTGTCATATACGTCATTGGAAACCCTTCATAGACTCTCTTTGACATTTTATTTGATTTCTCCTTTTAGAAGACTTACAAAACAAACAGACAAATGCAAGGGGATGGTTGATGAAAGAAAACTTTCAAAGAAAGAAGGGGGAGGTAGATTGAAAAGGTTGAAAGAGAATCATCCATGTTTAGGAAGATGGCTTGGGTGGAGTAAGCTATTCAGCAAATCAGACTTAATTACTGGAAGGAAACCATAGCAAAACAAGAGAGGACTTGTAAAGCTCATGATATACAATGACAAATGATAATCTAAATGACAATTACTTACGTTTTTTAAGGATGCAAGGTAACTTGTTTTTGAGATAATTGTACTGATTTGATATCAAACTACACATAAGCCTTGAGGATGTCAATCTAAAAGTTGTGACATTTAGAAAGACTTGAGCAAGCTGTAAACACAATATGTTATGCTTTCAAGAAATCAACTCAAGGGCACTTTCTAATCAATACCCTATTTTATTACCTAGAAAATTCATGTTTGGATTAATTTTGATGCAACTCGTCTTGACAATGTTCACATATTTGATAAGGTGATGAACAGGGAGGGCTATTGAATTTGTCTTTGATTAATTTCTTTCAAAGTCTATGTGAGCATGTCTGTAATAAGATTCAAATCTGGCTCTAAACAAAAGGAAACAAAAAACGTTTTGAAAAACAGAACCCTCCTTTTTAACGTCCAAAACAGGTTCATTCTCTGGACCAACAGTAGATAAATGTCCGCAATCAACAAGGGCGTCAGCAGCAGCAGCAACCATACAGGACCATAGAGAGCCTCTTACAGAGCAAGAACCCAACCTATCTCTAGCAGACGTACCTCTCACAAGGGATGCAGGGTCAAAGAAGAAGTGTGTGTCTATCATGGAGGACGTTACAGTGGTGGATGACGACGGCAGCCGGACCAAGCGAAGTGTGACGGAAGACGAGGAGATGGCGGAATTGAAAAAGAAACAGAAAAAGGAAGGGACAATGAAGGAGGATGGAGATGGTTCGTCGAGGGGGAAGAGAGGTGGGAGGGTGGTCCGGAATGTGCCTCATATTCATGTTGCAAAGGGTGAAAAGGCGGAGTGTAAACAACAATGATGACATAGATATTTGTTTATTTTAACATACATGTACATAAAATTCCTACATATCACTTGTACGTTCTATGACTCCAGAGACAGTTGACGTGCGGTCGACTGCGTAGATAAACTAATTATCTCAATTCAACCCTGCATCAATCACTCTACCCAACCCTTATCTTTACCCAGAATCAAACTACAAACACAATTATCCAAAATGTCTGATAAGTTAAGGCCATCTCAGGAGCACATGATTGTAAGGTCACGCACATGAACTGAAGCCATTGACTTGGCTAAAGAATCACCAAATTGCATATCATTTACAATAATTTCTGATAAATACGTAAAGAAAAAAAACAAGTGACAGACTGATCAAAGTGGGGAATCCTTGGTGATCATGAAAATATGATGGTGCAGGATTTTGTACTTGTACTGTTTTATGACGCGTACATGTAGTTCTTCGGTCAGTATTTGGTGGTGCAGGCTAAAGGGTTGATTGGTGCTGGTCATGTGGAAAATTCTATAGCAATTTGATGATGCCTTGGGTTTTTAGCACAGCTGCGAAATGGTGTTCAAAGCATTCAACGAATGCTTCCTAACAAATATCCTATTTACATATCTTTGGTCGAGAAAGATATTTATCGAAACAGAATTTCTACACACTTTCAGCAAAATACTAAATTAATAAGCAAGGTATAAATCTACATTGCTCCTTTGGATTTTTTAAAGGAGCTAGAAAGATATTGAGTAGCTTTCATATTGCAGTATTTCAAAAGTGAAAGGAAATATATATTTTTAGGAAGAAAAAATTATACCATGCATTTCTTTAACATATATTACTAAAGATCACTAATACATTAATTAAAAGTAATTATTGGTATGATTTTACAAATAATGATTTTCCTACTAAGTAATAATAACAATGACTTAGTGATAATGTTAACTTCAGTATCTTCAATCAAGTCACTGAATCACTGTCGATTCCAACTGGCTGTTAAGACTTCTTCCCTCTGAAATAGTATAAACAAACAAAAAGTGAATATATCATCTGAATACATTTTCTGTTATCTTTGTTGTTTCCATGTTTCCCATTTCCAGTCAAATAATCTATTTCAAGTAAATGTAAATCGCTTTTTTAGGAGTTACCTATATCCAAGAGACATGATAGTATCACACTAGGTAAAGCTACCACAAAATTGATGAAAATAAAAACGAAATGTTTGAAAAGCATTTTTGACATTATTTTTTGCTCCCCGGAATGATGCGAACCCTATTCATTTAAAACATTTGAATAAATGATGATTAAATGATATGTAAAGTGTTGCATCATCCCTTGGTTAAAACATGTCAAAATGCTTTTCCAATTTCTTTCTCTGTAAACACTTGTCATTCCAATTCTCCCTGTTTTACAGTTTGTCAAAATCTAGACGGCTTAGAATCCGTAGCGTAAAGATTTGGTAAGAATGCAAAAACAGAGAAATTACTTATTCACACAGTGGCCTCATTTGTAAAATGTATCTTTATTCTGTATAAAACAAATTTCATAGCCATTTAGAATCATATTGTTATGTGGAGCCAGAAGGGTGTTAACTCATGTACTCTAACATAGAATTAATGCCCTTCTTCCTCTGAGCGGATGGTTGGTATCTTGTTATTTATCAACTGTTATTTAAAAATAAATGAAGATTGCATACCTGCCAACCACCCCGATTTAGGCGGAGTTTCTCCGCATTTTTCATACCAACTCCGAATTCCGAGTGCATGCCTCAAAACTCCGATTTTTTTAAATTTTAAAATATTTTTTTTTTTTTTTTAATTAATTTTTTTTAAATTAATATTTTGTGTGTGCGTCCGCCATTTTCAATGGCAAAATGTCCATTCTGTCCTGTAAAGTATCCTACAAGCATCTCACATCAGCAATTTGGGGATGTTTATTCATACCTGCGTATAGCCCACGTGTATTTATATTACATGTGCAGTTGATACGCCGTGCATAAACACTGTATACATTGGCGTGTTTTCTTCAATGCTTGTGCGATGACTGCGATCGTGGAAGCTTGTTATTTACCGGACTTCCTCGGATTTATTTTGGATTACTACTACTATATACCTTTGCAAAATAGGGCTCCTAACTGAGGTGGGTAGTGAAACATGTAGTTTTGTGAGTGTTCACATTTCAAAATTGTTTATGTGTGGGGCGAAAAGGTTGAAGGAAAAGGCCCATTTGCACCATTAAAATGGAGAGAAAAAAAAATAGACCCTAAAGTCCTGTGTACCCCCCCCCCCCCCCCCCCCCCCCCCCCCCCCCCAATCTACGGGCTACTACCCCAATCCTTCAGTGGTTCGCGACCTCGTAGTCCATCCAGAAAAATTTACTCCTAATTTCTCTTGTCTCAGGTTGGCAGGTATGTGATTGGAGGAGGTTAGAGGGGGGGGGGGGGGGTGAACTTGCAGGTGTAGTGTTTATGATTTAAATAGCAAAGTACAGTGGAACCTCTCTATAACAAACTCTTATGGACCAAGGAATTACCTGTTATATCAGGGCTAGAAACTTATAGGATACACAGTTGCCTAAGCCATGAAGTTGGAATAATATTTGTAGTGCTTTTCATGAAACAATTGTGAGAATAATTATGATTTCTTTTTACAGATAAAGTTTATATCTTCTCAGAACTTTATATATGAAGAATAAATCATACAGTCACAACCATTTCATGGATAGAGGTAAGAAAAATATGAGCAATAGTGTACATTGTACGTAGAAAATGCGACATCAACATGGATTATCATATTAGAATGAAAGCTTGCTTTAACAGTGCTCTTTAAATGAGCTGCAACGAAATTTGGATTCCCTCTGATATTTACATGATTTTTTAATATAACGCCTTGTATAATAACTGTATAAAATTTTGATAACGAAAATAAATCATATTTATTATTAAATATTGTGTTTACAATATACTTTTGTTTGTATAGAATTTGTGTTGACATCCATCTCCCTTTCTTGCTATGTCAGTTTATCTCTCTCTTTTTAATGCTCTGTATGTGGTACTCTTTACTTAATCTTTCGTTATATATCAAGATCACCATTTACTTACAGATATGCCAATAAATGTGTATGTTTAAGTGTGGAGGGGGGGGGGGGCCTTGGACATCAGTTCATTTCACTTCCGACTAGTTGAGCAGCTCCATGCAGGGAAAATTAAACATCCCAATGAAATTAATAAAGATGTATATGATAAATCCAGATTACGCCCCCCCCCAAAAAAAACAAAACAAACAAACAAACAAACAAAAACAAAAAAAACACAATGTATTATCCCCTATCTTCCAAGAAATACTACCCCTGTTGCCGGTAATTGTCCCTGGGTTTTCTGAAGGGGGTCATTTTTTTTTTTTTTTTTTTTTTTTTTTTTTTTTTTTTTTTTGGGGGGGGGGGGGTAGTCCAGAGGTAGTTATCCTTGGTTCAAATAATAAATGATACTTATGCAAGAATGCGTTAGAGTGCAAAAGACGTGTCTCACTGAAGGCTTTAAGTAGTATGAGAGGCAAGAGAGCAGAAGAAAGAGAGAAAATAAAAAGCCAGCATGAGTTGATCAAAAAGTGCTCTAAGATGTGCAAAAGGGTTTTTTTTTCTCCTGCAAAATACAGAGGTGTTGGTAAGTGTAATCTGTAATTCCAGGATAGTCATGTTCTACAATTAACAATTTGATTCATTATCAAGTTCATACTTCACAAAATCAATTTCACACTTGATCTGACATCAATATATTTCATTGAAAATATGATTTGTGGGCAATCAATCTCGTATGTTTCACACAATACTTTATTCAGTACACAGTTAAAAGACCCCCCCCCCCCCCTACCCATCCCATTGCCTTCCATGATGGTAGAGCACATGTATGGATCCGTCACGCACTCATTGTGAGGTCTAAAATCAGACAGGGTTAAGACTCGATGTCAAGAGCATCTGTCTCCCGGCAAACATTAGTGACTACTTGATTGCACCTGCGGTACTCGGAATGAAGATGATGTGTATCAACAAAGCTCCATATACCTGATAAAATGGTCCATATACCTGATAAAATGGGTTTTAAAAGCATACGATGATCTCGATCATGTTTAAACCTTGGAAAAGTTGACTGCAGTATCATGAAGAATAGGGCGGATCCAGGATATGTTTGTTTAATCTTGAGGGGGGTGATGTTTGTGCACCAGACAGGGTTAAAACTCGATGTCAAGTACATCTGTCTCCAGGCAAACATTAGTGACTACTTCATTGCAGCGAAGATACTTAGAACGAAGATTATGAGGATAACATTTCAGTCCTTTCCAGGTTTGTTTAAATGGATTGGTTTATGTTTAAAGGCATGCGATAGCCGGTGAAATCAATTTGAAAATATACTGTTAAAACCGAAGAGGTTTTGATTCTGCAGTCTTGTGAATTAAGAGTAGGGGAAGTTCCAGAAGTTTTTTAAGGGGGGAGGCATCTGTGCACCAAACATGGTTAAGACTCTATGTCCTGTACATCTGTCTCTCGACAATTTTATTGACATCTTGATCGCGCCATTAACCCTACCACGATTGCACCTAGGGTGCTCAAAACGTTGAAGATGATAAGAGTAAACATAAGTCCAATCCCTTGTTAAAATACTAGGTCAATTTTAAAAACATGACTTATAACCGCCGGCTAAATCAGGTTGAAAATTAAGTTTAAAAATATATTTTGTTAACATCTGTAGTCCTAGTGTATGGGTAGATTCAGGGCTCTTCTTTAGGGGGGGGGGGGGGGGTTATACACCAGACAGGGTTCAAACTCAATGTCAAGTACTTTTGTCTCGGGTAAACATTGACTACTTGATTGCAGCTAGGAAACCTGGGGGGTGTTTCATCAACTAAAATCGATTTCGATTTTAAAAATCAATTTTAAGGCCGAATCAGTTTTAGCTTAAAACCGATACGTGTGAGCTGTTTCATCAAATCGATTTTAAGCTAAAATAGATTTTTAGGTGTCTGCAATCAAGGCTAGTCAATTTGGGGTAAATCGATCACAAAATTGCTTGCTAAACTACTGCCAGAGAGTCCTTGAAAAAGTAAGTAAATTCCGTTTTTCTTTCAAAATATTAATTCTGTTGATAAAAAATCTTTTATTTTGGAAGAAGAAAAGTGTTCCTGTCATTTTTATAGAATTACATTTGTGTTTAACTGAACAAAACTTTAGATAATATCAATTGATATCACCCCCAACTGGGCTAAAAAGTGGACGAATTGCACTGGTTCAATAATTTCAGTCCCATTCATATAAATTCATGCAGGTTCAATAGGAATTTTCTACCGACGGTTAGGGCAGGTACAAACTCATTAATCTAGTTTATTCTTGCAATAGTCTTGGGGTTATATACAATATACTAGGCCTAGGGCCTCTATTCTAGGGCCTAGATCTATCTATTTATTTAGCGGCCCTTGTCTTGTTTTTGTTGATAATAAAATTAAAAATCAACAGACAACAGGATCATTGTTTTGACGTTAATATTTTATGAAGAAGAAGATTAGTCTGGACTCTAGAGAGTAGATGGTCTAGAGTGTTGCTGTTAGACCCAAGTTACATTTAGATCTAGTCTAGATGTAGACCTCTAGACTCTAGATTTAGTCTAGGTCTAGATCTAAGTTCTCGGCCTAGATCTAGATCTACTTGATAATGATACTTGATACTAGATCTAGGGAAGATGTAGACCTAGCCTCTCCAACTATTACTAGGTCTAGATCTAAGGCTCTAGCATACTGCAGTCTGCAGCTCTCTTCTGCTGGACTAGTCCTACTCCTAGATGTGGACCTATAATCTAGTCTAGACTAGAGCCGAGGTCTACTGGGAGTTACTCAGTTGGGTCTAGATCTAGTCTATACCTACTACTAGCGCTACAGTAACAAGTTGGATTGTAGACTAGTCTAGTAGGCCTAGGTCCAGGCATATTAATATTAAAATTAGGTCCAGATCTATTACTCAGTAGACTATTAGGGTCACTAAGCCTTAGGCTCCCTATATTATTATTTTTTTCTTAATTTCATTTTTCTTTTAAGAGTCAGACTCAAAGATGGAGTGGACCTCAAGACTCAAAAGTTCTCTTCTGCCGTGTCTCTACTCTCTACAGTCTTGGACTTCTCATTCTACTACTAATTTCTACCTCGGCCTCTGGCTCAATAAGGAAAGGGTTTGGATATGCAGAATGTACTCAAACTCAATGTCTAGGTGTACAGCTATAGACTCTAGACTAGATCCTACTGTGCTAAGTGGCCTTGTGAAGTGATCTTTTTACTAGTAAAAATTGCACACCAATATTTAAACAAGTGAAAGGTAAGTTTTTTTGTGTGGTTCTTCTAGACCTAGACCCTACATATAAATAAATTAATAAATTGTTGTTGAGGGTGTAATCTTGATTTTCATTACATTTTCTACGTACAATCACAAACTGATAAATCCATGTAAGGAGAAGTCAACCATGGCATGTCTAAATCAAAGATAAATTACTACGTCAGCCAGACTGATAAATATTGTACAAATAATAGGGCAGCAATTAATGTATAAAAATGTGATTGAACAAATTGTTATGAGCATATATGTATGATGTAAGCTGTTTGTTATTTACCAGCTGAGGTATATCTTTCCCTTTTACTCACGACAGGGGAATGTTCATTGATTCTGTGTACAACATTGTTTGGTTCAAGAGTAGGGTAACCGAGATCAAGATTAGACTCCATAGTCAATCTTGCAAATGTCTAAAACTTTCAATGTGGTTGGTAACAATGTGTGGGACCAAATTCATGTAAATTGCTATTGTAATTACTGATAAAAATGAACTTATGTTCTGTTGAACACATTAGATACAATGACAAATATTTTTCTGGAAAATAGATGTGCTCTCTTCATCACAATTATGTATCTCTGTTTTAAATCTTAGGTTGCAAAATAAAGAGCTATGGCATCTTCATGTACTGCTAGTTCATGACATATGGACTTTTATTGTCCATCTCTTCAAATTGAAAAGGTAAGCAGTATCAATTACCATGATTGGTCTTATCAGCATGTTCTGTGCCTGCAATTGTTGTCATACCTCTACAGCAGTCATTAAAAATGAAAAGACATCAGTCAGTACATTTTTCATAATCCTTGTAAGAAGTCTAAAACCCATATTAACCATTCTGTTGTATAAAAAGTACACAAATGGTTATGAAAGGATTTTTTTCTCCAAAGCAAACAATCATTTATCTTCTATAACTAAAACTACTTTTGTCTCAATTTTTTTTAAGGAATATTTTGTATTCTTCTTCTTTATTTATTTAGCAATTAAAGTATTTGAAATAAGCATGAATACAAAAGTTGAAGATGGGTTGAAAAATTGCACTAGTATTTACTAATTGATTCATTTTTTTCCATAACTTTAAATTCTGATTCTAGACTGCAGAGCCTGAATTACCTGCAACGTTATGCTTCCTATGAAACATCAGCCAGCCCACAGATAGAAGCTCCCTTTTCCAGCTTTAAGCAAGAGAGACCACAATGAGATACAGATCCATGGTATCATGGACTGGTCACTTTTACAACCAACACTACTTGTAAAATAAGATTTACAAATTAATTCCTAAGCTATTTCAAAGCTGATAGAAAAGAATTGATGATTAATTTCATATAGACAAACTATTGTATCAAGAAAATCACATTCTCACCGACTGCGTGACCTAGCTAGATGACAATGTATATCATCCATAGATTAACAAACATATGAGTAACAGAAATATTTGTGACAAGTATTACTCTTTTAATCTCCTTAAAAGTAACTCGAATAGAGAGTGGCAGATATCAGCTGCAGTAGTTTTAACAACTGGCTGATACTTTCATAGTAGCACTTTCATTTGTGTCTTTTAAAATGTTCTTATTGTATCCCTTGAATGTATTTGCTATGCTCATCATTTACAAAACGTAGATTTCATTCATTAAAGCATAAGCATATTGATTAGACATTAAAATCTGTGTTAATTTTATTTTGTATGTATTTTTTGTCTTTTAAGAAGATAAAAGGGGGGGGTGAATAGATGAGATTGTACGCTAGCGCATGGTGATAATTATCTTGTTATAAGTTAGTGTTTATTTATTCATTTTTGTTCTTTATTTATTTTTGTGTGGGAAAGGGGGGGGGGGTGTTTATATGAAGAAACAAAATTACTTTGAAAGGGGCGGCAAGCTAAGCGTTGTGATGGGAGTGTCATTTTTTTTTAATGAAAGAGAGAGAGAGAGAGAGAATATGACAGAGTAAGGACACATAATTTTAAGCACATATGGTTAAACAAATATAGAAAAGGGGGCACATAACAAATAGGAAAAGGGGCACTTCTAAGAAGAAAACATAAGAAGTTATTAGAAAAAACATGAGGAACTTTAAAACAAAGAGAAACGGGACAAACTACATAAAGGAAAAGTGCACTTTTAATAAACAAAGGGTTGTTAATCAGATGTAAAAGGGGCACTTCAACCCTATCTAGCATGGGTTATTTTTAAAAACTGCATAGCCTGGGGGCACTTCTAAGCAGTGACAGATGTAGAGAGCCCGGGCCCCCTCCCCTGGGAAAAATAACGTGTAACGTTAACTCTACCTTTTTTTTTTGGAGATGGGCCCCCTCCCCTGGCGCTCAAGGGGGGGGGGGGTGCGATTGTTAACATTTTTCGAGGGCCCCCCCAAAAAAACAGTGCTCACCCAACCCCCAACCCCACAATGAGCGAATTATCGGCCGGCTGTTTCGCTGCTAAGTATTGTCTCACGAATTGGGCGTCCTCCCGTGCCGCCGGCTGGATAAGGCCCCCCCCCCCCTCCCAGGCTAGATTGGGTTAAGGAGAAAACGGGCCGCCCATGTATTTTTGAAGAAAAAATGGGCCATTGTGCTCCCCCCCCCCCCCACCAGAGTGCCAAATTTGGTATTGATCATGCCTTACTATGATGATTTAAAAAAAATTGGTTATGAACAAAGATTTGTTCCCCCCCAAAAAAATTGCCATTCATTTTTAACAGGATTCTTCATTTTCAGATGTATGAAGCTAGCCGACACTTACGCCTTTAAAACCAATGAATGCTGAACATAGCATATCAATAATGCAAAGACTAAGGATAAAATTGATTTAAAATTGATATGGATCACACTCTAAGTTAAAATCGATTTTAAGGCCAAAATCGATTTTATTTATTTAGTGAAACTGCTGCTAAAATCGAAATCAATTTTAGGCCCTTAAAATCGATCAAATCGATTTTAGATCGATTTTAGGGCTTTAGTGAAACACCCCCCAGGAATTGAGATGATGAGGACAGGCGCGTAGCCAGGGGGGGCGGTGGGGGCGGTCGCCCCCCCCCCCCCAAAACGCCGGCCAAAAAAAAAAAAAAAGAGAAAGAGGAGAAAAAAAGTAAGAGGACGTAGAAAGAAAAAGGGAAAGGAGTCGATAATTTAATGAAACGTCAAAGCTTCCGCGCTTCGCGCGGAACGGGGGGAAATTGAGTTCAAATTAAGTATTAAGAGTCGAGAACGGAACAAAGAATCGTCTTCTTTCTCTAATAATTTAATGAAACGTGAAAGCTTCCGCGCTTCGAAAGAGGGGGACTGAATACAGATAAGGATTAAGGGTCGGGAAAAGTACAACGAATCGTATTCTTTGTCTTCTTTTAATGAAACTTCAAAGTTTCCGCGCTTTGCGCGGGAGGGGAGGAAATTACTGAATTCAGATAAGGATTAAGAGTCGAGAACGGTACATCGAATCCTCTTCTTTCTCTAATAATACGTCAAAGCTTCCGCGCTATACGCAGGAGGGGCGGACTGAATTCAAACAAGGATTATGAGTCGAGAAAGGTACAACGAATCGTCTTCTTTCAAAGCTTCCGCGCTTCGCGCGGGAGGGGGAAAACTCCCCCCTCCCTGCACCCACCCCCCTAGGGAGCGCGCTACTCGCGCTCTTTAAGTGATTCGCACGCTTCGCGTGCTCACTTCCGCCCCCCCCCCCTAAATGAAATCCTGGCTACGCGCTTGGATGAGGATATGTCCTGTCGCTCTTAAAATGGGTCGCTCTTAAAATGGGTCGATTTTAAAGGTATATACTACAGTCTCGATCGGGTTGAAAATATATTTAGTTCGACGCATAACCGTACCATTTGTAAATCTAGAGTAGGTGTCTCATGAAAACAAGATACGAGAGGGACTGGGTATGTGGTCCCAGTCGAATGTCGAAAAGGAAAGAGGAGAGGAGAGGACTCGAAGGAACATGAAAAGATGACTTCACTCACTCTCTCACCTTCCATTAATCGATGTCATTGTTAATTTGCATTTCATCTACCTAGTAATCTAATACTAATAAATACTAATAAATCATTCTCTCAATTTAATCGTCAGATTTGAATTAATAATAATAATAATAATAATATTCCGTGTTTATATAGCGCTCAATACATCGATCCAACGGTGTGCCTAAGCGCTTTACATATATTATATTACCCCGGTCGTCGGATTCAGGCTTACTTACCCGCACACAATTAGAAAGATGAGACCCTTTTTTCCTTCAAATGAATGATCAAGATACTTCAAGATACTTCAAGATACTTCGAGATACTTCTACTTCTACTTCTACTTCTACTTCTACTTCTACTTCTACTTCTACTTCTACTTCTACTTCTACTTCTACTTCTACTTCTACTTCTTCTTCTACTTCTACTTCTACTTCTACGTTCAGGTTATTTTTGAGAATCGAAGCGGGATCATAAAATACCAGTCATCTCCTGTCAATAAGTCTGTCAAACCATTGTCAAACCATTGACCCCGCCCTACTTGACAAACTTGTTATTTGCAAACAAAGATGCATAGGCAATCTGACATTTTTTCCTGGTTTTATTACGTCATAGGTAGGGTTACGGTTAGGGTTGCAATTTAATTCCAGGTTAGGGGTAGGTGTAGTTCTATACGTCAAGGGTTTAACTTTTCGTTAGTCGATGGTATACATTAAATGAACTGTGGAACGAATTTCGCAGGAGAATGTGCATTCGTTGTGCCCAAAGATGATGAGCTGAATCGAAAATGAGCTCCTACGGGTGGTCGAGGTCTAAATAAACACCCATCTTCCCATTCAAATTGATAGAAAACTGATTTATAGTCGTCCCATCATTGCGCCTGCCTATCAGTACAGGCGCTAATTTGATAATAATTTTTTGACTGACAGCATTTTGACCACGTGACATGACCTCAGTTGACCCCGTGTGTCGTCGCAAGTGACAAGGTCCCTGCATTATCCTGAAAATAAATATTGAGCCCCCACCCATGATGCATGGGGTGTCGCCGGTGTGTTTGGGTTTTGTTTTGTCTTATCAACTCTCTTTCCATTGGACTCCATACCAGTGCTAATGTTATCGTCACCTGCCAGGTTGGACGTAGGAGGGCGATTGTAGGCAATTGAAGATAAATAGAACGGTGTCATCCATATGGGGACGGTGTGAAATTGATAGGATTTCGACTGGACCTAGCCAACCTTGTGTTCTCAGTGTCACTGAAATGCAGGCATCGTTCCTGTCGTTGTCATCATCACCATCACTCCTACCACGTGACTCTTGTTGACACCGCATCAGGTCACCATCGTCATCATCATCACCTCGTCTGTTCAGAACCGGAAGGTTACTAACTAATATAATATACACTTAAACACAGAGTTAACAACCTTATGGTCCCAAACATTCGACCAGTCATGTCCTTAAACTTACCATGCGATCTAATTGAAAATATAATGATATAAACTGATGCCGTCAAGAGGATGTAATTTGTAGCATTTGAACATCATTAAACACGTCATGTAACGTCAATAAAATCAGAATTGCGTGTCGCCAATAAGGACCTGCGTTTAACTTTTCCGTCGCATTTAGAAGAAAACAATGCTACTTTTGATTTGGTGACCTTTTAAAGAATACTGAAATCCCAAAGGAGTCTCAAATCACTGTACCACAATGCGAATAATTTATTATATGCTGATTCTGAATTAATGCCCGCATGATGTCATAACAAAGGCGTATCCTACATGAGATCTACTCGGTTTATACCCATGCCACATGTCAATACAACTTAATAGATTCTGACACCCCCTCTAGACTATTTACCCCCTGTTTGTTATCAATGCCCGTATACGCCACAGCGCTGAAAGTTTTTATCAGTTATATTTTCAGATGAATATCAAAGTGGTGGAATTGTGCATAATAATTGTGATTATTATAGAAGCTACAAAATACATTGTAAAATGTATAATATTACCATTTAATTTGAATACATTAATTTAAATAGAGCCGGAACGCGTAACTTTTTCCCACGTAAAAATAACATTTCTGCTCTGTCTGACTATTAACTTTCTAGCCTTTTTATTTGACCGTTTTTCTTTTTATCCAATATCAACAGAATTATAGCAAGCTTTAAATTCATCTTGATATCCTCCTGTGAAACTCATTCCGTTCATATGGATCAAAACAACCATTCACCTGTTCCCAACCTAACAACTGTTGTCGACTTGGTATGAACTGATCATCTGTCAAACTCCATTCGGTGAATTTGTAATGATATTCCGATATGTAAAATCTGAATAAAACATATAACTATTGGTAGGCCTATGATTGAAACCAATGCTATTGTGGTTGTAGTTGTTTTGTCCACCTCCATTATATCTTATAGTATAGTTGTAGTAACAGTCAGTATTCGCTAAGTGAGATGGGCATAGGGGCGGGTCCGATGGAGCGTCTTCCAAAGTGGGGTGGGGCACCAACAAAAAAAGGGCACTTTCTAGAAAAAAGGGTTACCTGCAAAGACAAACCTCAAAGCGAAAATATACTATTTTTTTTAGACATTGGTAAATACTCTTACCTTGTGATCAATACATTACTCTCTTTAAAAAAAAAGAGTGAATTTTCACTCTATTTTCACTTTCTTGGGAGTGACGTCCGTGAACACTCGTTTAGGAGTGAAAATCGATTGATTTTAGAGTGCTCTCTAAGAAGAAGAGAGTGAATGTTCACTCTGTTTTCACTACATTTTCACTCTCTAGAGGAGTGACGTCCGTGATCACTCGATTTTTTTTAGAGAGTATGAGGGATAATATCAAAATATCTTACATGTATTACATTTTCTCTACATGGTCCTAGATACTGCTTAAAAATCTTACTTTGTAGTTGGGTGTGATGGTCCGAATATTCATTTGTGAGCGAGCGAAGCAAGCGACCATGAAATTTAAGATGCGAGGTCTCATTGCGACCAATCTTATAAAGAGGGGGGATCTTGAAGGGGTTCTAAGCACAATCTCATATCATGAAAGACTGAAAAGACCCGTAATAAGTTACATAAATACATAAACTTTTTTTTTCTTGGGGGGGGGGGGAGCAAATTTGTGAAAAAGTAGTTCTTAGTTGCTTCTAGTTAGGGGCTCATGTTATGGCACTATATCAGAAAGGAAAAGGAGCACGTGTCACAGGAAACAAAAAAGAGCAATTATCAGAGGTGAAAAGGGGCACTTCTCGCACCAAGAATTTGAAAGTCCAGCAGCGAGTAGTCTCTCCGTAAATTATATTTTCTTATCGAGTTATCGGATGCACCACCAGTGGTTGCCACTATCAAAGGGAAAAAATACTCGTTTTCTTCGCTCGCTTGCAAAAGTTTCAAAACGAGAAATTTAATAGTAGTGGAATCGACTACGAGCACGTTTCAAAATCGTTCACGTTTGCTATTGAATAGAATTGAGAGAAGAAATTTAGTCCAAACTGAATAGAGAATATAAAAGAAAAAGCTGTTTAAGTATTTGAGCTCAAGAGGTCGCGCTTGAAAACAAACCTACACTCTGAACTCTAACTTCGCGGCTCTGTCAACTTCTCTGTTTGAGTCTACACAATTCATGTTCACAGTGTGAGCGCGACAGATATCAATCACTCCCGCCACTGGACTCACTCTTAACTCCCTGACTGTCGAAGATTTTAGGAATCATTTTTCCTACATCTGCAGACGTCGATTGGAAATTGTTCTGTGACTTTTTTCCAAAGACATTTTTGGATCTAGGGAAATATCTTGTGGAATATAGCTAGACCGGCTTCCCGTGTATATTTTGACGTTGTTTTGGAACCGGACGGAAGTTGCATTAGCCGCTGGGCCGAAACTTCGGGGGACCCGGTGCACAAAAGATCGACTGGCTGCCTCGAAAGGTATGTGCTATATATTACAGCATTCTTTCCCCCACTGCATGATCCCTGTTTTTCAATACTCCGTACACCTTTATTAAGTGTGTTTTGTAAATGGGGGAAAAATAAAAACACACAGTGCTGTAAGAGAGAAGAGGTAAATAAAATCGGTAGAGGTGGTGGAAAATAGAGATGGAAAAGAATTGGATGGGGCCTGGGGTTGGCCTAAGTATGAAGAAAAAAGAGAAGACATTTTGAGACGTGCTATCATGATTTTATAGCTGGTATAAACGTCATGGGAAGTCAACGGGTATCCATGAAATACAATTACCACATTCATAGTGTGATAGCAATTTGTTTGGGGGGGGGGGAATGAACGAACAGGAAGCGATCAAGTTATGGAATGTGTTCAAATACCTGTCGGAAAACTAACGCACAATATAGAAGATTGGGAATGATGCATTATGATTAGAAAATCCAGCGTCTATAATGAAGTCTCACATTCTGATAATGATGTTTTAAACAGTTGTTGATTCTAATAACCATCAATGAGATCCCCCCCCCCCCCAAAAAAAATAAAAAATAAAAAATAAATAAATAAATAAATAAATAAATAACCATGTTGCACTCGTTTGTAATATACTCTTTTCGATATAAATATATGACAAGCGTGTTTAATTAGTACCATTATGTTAATTACTAACGAAATGTAAGGTATCCCTCTTCATGTTCTTCCTTCTTTATGTACGTGATAACATTTTGACATGTTTCTGAAGTCGGGTTTAGAATATAGCATTTTTTGTTGAGAGAGGATACGTGCGTTGTATAAAGTGGCATATTCGCCACTGATTTTTCTAGTTAAATCCATGTATTTGCCAAACAGTGGTAGGAAAGCGAAATCAACTAGAGAGAAAGAGAGAGAGAGAGGCGGGTAGAAACAGCAGAGGCAAAGACAGACGGGCAGAGTAAGAAATACATGTATATTATGAGAAAGGAAGAGAGGGCCATGTTGTAATGATGATGATATTACGATGAAAATGTTAAAAAGGGCATCTTCGGCCCCATGATCTGACGGTGACCCCATCAATCCACGCATTGATCCCATCTCCCTGACCCACCTTTCTTCACATAATTATTATGAAAATTAATGTTTAAATAAAAGAAGAAAGTGGGTCATGTCGAGGGACTGGGGACGTAAATTATTGGAGCATGGGTACACGTGCCCCTCCCCTCTATCCTTTTAATCGTAAAAAAATTGGGGAAAGAGAAAAAGGGAAGAAACAATCAAGTACAGTAGAAGATACAACCTCCGCACCTTCCCCCTAATTGGTATTCTTGTTCATTCTTCATTCAACGAGTGGTGCCCTCGTGGTGCCAGTGCCCCCCCCCCCCCCCTACGCGGACCGACGCTACGCCATTGATACAGCAGCTGAATCTGTTTCCTTGTATTAATTTGTCTTCTTCCTTTTGTGTCTCGTTAAAGTGGTATTAAAGTTTTAAATTCAGGGGCGTTGATCCCTGTTTAGGGGTGGGGGTGACACAGGTTATTTTTCAGAGCAAATAGCGCATAAGATACACACATTAATTTTTATCCCGTATTGTTACTGCCCCAAGCAATCCAAGGACCATATCCCAATTTGAGTATTAAAGGTTTAAATCGAATAAGCCTAAATATTTTAAGAATGTCAAAATTCGGCACCTCTTTCATCTTGTACGGCAATTTAATGGACTAAATTACGACTACATCCCCCCGTTAATCGGCTATGTGGCCATTTTGACAACTTAATTCTTTTTTTTGTGATTTTTAATGACGCCGTTTTAGATAAAAGTCACTCTAGGCCACCCGGAAAAAATTTGTGTGGCATAAAAATGTGATCTACAAAAAGTTCACTCCCTCTCCCACCTACCCTTCCATTTTTGTGATGTTCCTCTTCATACGGTACGCACCTGCTCACTCCGTATAGCTTTCCCAATGTTGACCTAATTTTTCCCTGCACAAGGCCATTTTTTCCTTTCCCTTTTCACCTTTAATACCCTCCTAGTAAGAAAACAATTATGATAAATATGGCAAGGTAAATCAAACACTGTCAAATTTCCCTGTTATGATAAAAATGCCATTTTGAGACAATAATGGTTAGGAAAATCCGGTCGGTGTTATGATAAACTCTCTGGCCGTTGGAATCCATGGCTATGTCCACCATGGGAGAGAAGACTTGAGAAAAATAGGGCAACTGAACTCTTCCTACAACAGAAAGGTGAAAAAGTGTTATTAGCCCTATGATACACATGAAAGGCAGAGAAACGTTAATGAAGACAAAAAATGAATTGTCAAAGTTCACGAAGTTAGGCGACGGATGGAAAATGGAATACGTCAAAAGGAAGATGTGAAATAAAAAAGATAGTTCTTGAAAAACGAAGATATTATGTGAGGGATGGTGTGACAGAAAATGGAAGAGAAGGAGGGTACGCAGAATCGAAAGAGAATGGGAAAACTATAGTGAGGGTGAATATGACATGATCATGTCGATAAGCTTGTACTGAAATAATATGAGAACGTTAACAAACACTGCAGGATCTCAGGAAATACGTGTAAAAATCTAATTAAGTATTTATAACAAATAATTATTATATCTAATTTTGTTTGTCATTCGTTCAGTCAGCATATGTTGTTTTTTTTTTAATTTGAATTTGCGGAAAATCAGAATCGTTTGGATTTCTTTTGACTTATATATATATATATTTTTTTTTTTGTCTGGAAACATTCAGAAATATTTATGTTTTTGCATATTTCTATATTTTGGTATGTCTTTGTCCAATGTTTTTTGTTTATCATGTGGAATCAATAATAATTGTACCCATGATGGCAAACATTCTTTCCTTTCGACTTCATTTCCTGTAAGGTCTGCTTATGGTCTGCAAAGGAAGAACGTTGAAAATGCGTCTACAGAGGAAATATTACTCAATACTTATTAACAGACAATGCTCGGAAGACCCATTTAGACTGTTACATGTCTTTTTATTTTTCCCAAAGGTACATATTTCCGAATATTAAAGAGAACAATTTAACGTTTTTTTCGAATACGAACCGTCGAAATAATGAACCCCTTCGTATGGGGGTATTTGTGTTTCGGAAACTTGGAATTATGAACCTTTAGAAAAACATGTAACCCCCCGTTTAGACAACTGTTATGTCGGTACCGGATTTTTCTTGTTATCAATGCGTCAAAATAGCGATTGACAGCTCAGAGTGTTCATTGTCTCGAAAAAAGACACAACTAACAAAAAGGTTAGAATGCAAGACTTCCTTTTTAATAATTAGGTATATTTTGGGAAAGTCAAGGGCATCATGTTTAAGATTAGAACAGTCTTCTTTGGAGGTCATAATGACGTAAATGTAGGCCTACAGGTTGTTCAAGAATAAAGTGATGTCTCTATCATCTTGATCTACCTTACTTCATCTAACTACCTCATCGCATAATATGTGTTGAGTTACAATAGCGTTGGATGGATTGAACTAAATTTATTTTGATTTATGCTGCTGTGTCAGATACGTTTCATTATCGGCGTAGCACGGAGGGGGGGGGTGATTCGGGGACTCCTGTGCCCTTATTTGATGTTTTCAGAAATAGTACGGCTAGAACATTATTATGTTGTGAGTGATATTCTTTTCCCCTCAGATAATCGTAATGCTCCCTCGCACAATCTTAATTACACGCATACAAAACAACTCCCCCCCCCCCCCCCCCCATCCAGCCCCGAAGAACCCCATGTCGGCTCTGGAGAATTTGTGAACATTTAAATCTTTTGTTAGAATTGTTATGGTTGTTTATTGATGTCATTTATTCCCGCTTCAGTTGTTATTTACTGTCTGTATTGAAGAAGGAGTAATGAGAGCTTCAACAAGAATGTACTGCACTGTCCTTTTCTCTTCCTTTCATGTTAAACGTTGAATACCGTAAAGTTCTCCTAAAGATGACATTATAAGAATGATAGGCATATTTAGTTTGGCCTTGCAAAGAATCGTAGTACTGTCTCTTTTGTCCATAACAACAGGAACATTTGTTTCGGAGTCAGAAAAATAGATAAAAGGAATCACGGCTGTATTTACACAGATAAATAAGTGGATGATATGATGACAGAAAACGACATTGAGATCCGACAGGTAGAAAAGCCAAAGAATTCGGGATAAGTTTTCATTTTAAATACCGGCATGTATGAGGATGAAGCGCTGGGAAGGATATTCCCATTCGACCAACTTAAATGTGGTTGGTGAAAACAAATTTTGGCATAGAATCGTTTCTGACACAAAAGAAATACCACAGTCCTCGCTGGTATCTTACGACCTTTCTGATAATTCGAAAGAAGGGATTAAAGATAACCTCTTAATAGTCGATATTATCGGCTTATGATCATTTTGCAATTATAGACTCTTTAAAAAACCGTCACGATTTGCATGTTGTTCATTTTTAATGCAAACACTCTGTACAGCGTCCTTGTTGGCAAATTTCCAGCTATTTTGGGCCTTTTCAACCCTTTTCAGCAATTTCCATGCCCCCAAAAGAGGGGCACTATAGAGGACATTATACAACACCTCATGATTTATCGGGGTTTTTTTTTTTGGGGGGGGGGGGGTAAGATCAGTATGTTCTTACTTCATCACGTTTTACCGCTTTACAAACCTATCGTATCCAGTCAACTAAATGTATTGCATTTCGATTTAATTTTACCTCGAAATCATGTAAAATCAAATATTCGTATCGGACTGATAGTTTACGAGAAACTTCATTACATGTATTTTCCCTAAAACGAACCCACATATACTTGAGAACAAAATATAACACCCCAACAGTTCTCTCTGGGACCCCCATTCGGATCCCCTTTTGAGGTATCATTTCCATTTGTGGATTAATTTTCTTTGTAATCGCCCCCTCCCAACCTCTAATTGTAGTAGTGATGATGCACAGATGACAATAACGGTGACTATTTTAAGCGAACAATCTGTCTAAACCGATTACTCACAGGTG